TATATGATATACCGTGACTTATCAGTGGGGGCGCCACCTTGTACATTTTTGGTGATGTGTGGATCCAGAAGCCAACCAGAACTTCAATCACCGGATGGTCCAGTCTTGCGGCACGCCAGGCTTCTCGAAGCGTTTCGTGCGCTATAAAGCCAGAGAACCATGGCAGGGCGAGAAAAATGGGATCTGCTTGGGACAGCGTGACTCGGGAGATTTCGCACAATGAAGGTGGGCGTTTCAAAAAGAAACACAAAACTGTGATATGATACAATGTGGGCCCCAGTTATAACTTGGTTTATAAACCCCATGAATACTATAGTTATTTGTGTATAATAAACCATAGTTATTGGAGTTATCTTCACCAACTTAGCTATCGTTCGGGGGCCTCACGTTGTAATAATGATAATATGGTGTAAACCTTCAGTGATGGCTACGGCACCCGGTTGATTGCGCCAGTTCGATGGAGTACTATCTCAGTTCCCGGTAATTAAGGTTGGCCAATGTTGGCCATAATATTGGAAGAACGTGATCCGTTCAGAATGAGAATTGGGATCTTAAGTCACAAGTGGGCACCCCAAACTTTGGATGATGATATATATATAGTATATATAAACACACTTGAAATATGTGGAGCTTTTTTCGTTGACTTCACTCAATGTTAGTCAATCGTCAAGCTCTTGTTTCTCCATCAATCACATAGACGGTCTGACGGACATACCAGTTGAAGGCCAAAAGTCCATCCATGGCCTATGACACACGAGGGCTAGCTGAACCAGCCAAGAGCAAAGGACGCTGGGCACGCGAGCATCAACATTTATCAACATCAAAACTATCCAAACTTGTTTTGAGGATATGTTACTCCAAGATACCGAACACGTTTCCCACATTTTTTTGCAGTAGAATCCCTTCTAAAGTGACCACCAACCCTTAGGTCGTTTACCAAATTTCACAAACAACAATGATTCCCAGTTATCCATCCAGATTTTACATCCAGATTCAGGGACAGCTTTCCCGACACAGAGCGACGGTGCCAGATTTTCTCTGCCGCAGCGTGAACCGAACCGAACGGGCGCAACGAGCCGAGCCTCGGGCACGACGGGCACGACGGGCACCGTGATGGGAGGCCGGCGGAGAGATAGACCCAGTGATTCAGATCATGAAAACATGGCTTGATCCAACATGTTGTATAGAAGTGCAAGAGCATCCTATCGTGGAAAAACAACGCATATGATATATATATATATATGTGACACACCAGCAAACTATAGATACTATGGTCTATAGTGAGTTAGCTGCCTAGACATCCACCAAGAAGCATTTCCACAAGTGGTTTTGCAGCAGCTATCAGGTGCCTATCTTTTACTGCTCACCCTGGCGGCATGTTGCAGCTGTGAGTACAGCATCGATGTGGTTTCGCAGTTGCTGCTGGGCCAAAAAAGGGCAGCCAGTTGGAGCTACAAAAAAATGGAGTTTCCCAACCACATGATAAAAAATATGGAAAAAAATATGGAAAATCACCATTTTATAGCTGGGTAAATCAACTATTTCTACGGCCATTTTCAATAGCAAACTGTTAGTTTACCAGAGGGTAGTATACCTGTGAAGGGGAGTGGAGAATTGTGTTGTTTTTTGGGGGCCGTGCCCCAGTTGTTGGTTTCTGATTTTTTCTTGACGGATTGAACAGCCACCTTACCGAGTTTACCAGCTTGGACGGACATCAAAGTGAGTTTGAACATCGGCATCATCTATGTCCCTAAACATCAGTGTCACATCATAAAAAAAAACAAATATCAGTGCTATATATATATATATAGGTTTTACACATGTATACATATATATAAGTATACATTTTATATATATATTTATATTATATGCACAGTGTATCATATTATATATATATGTTATGTTTTATCAAACCATATCAGACCATCAATTGTAAATTCTATCGTCACTAAGGCAGGTGGATCAGCGCAAGGTGGGCCTCCGCACGACGCAGCTGCGCAGTGCCTACAACCGATCCATAGCAAAGCGTGCGCCGCTGAGCCAAAAAAAATGGGAAATGTTCAGTTAACATGGCTTCATGGCATATCATGATATACTAACTTTGGTGGTGGTTATACACCAAATTATGGATATGGATGGAGTTTATTGTAATTTATTGTATATATATATATAAAACATATTATATATATATATTTATGTATATATATATACATTTATATACTGTATATATATATATTTACTTATATATATATATATATTATATATATATTGGCTGCAAGTGAAACTTAGAACCATCCCCAGGTTTCCAAACATTAATCATCATACTCATACACTTAGAATGATGTTTCTATCGAGGGTGGCGCTACGTATGTGAAACCTGCAAACATACACATACTGTAATTTGATTTGCCCCAAAAATTGTAGATTTCACTGTTTTAGATGACATTTTATTAAAACACGACTATCGATAGCCAAACATGATGATCCTTCCAGATTATTCTCACTTTTTTGTTCATCCACAACCAAACCTATTATTTCAAAACTGGAAAGTGCCCAAAACGTGAGTTTTGGCTTTCGCGTTGGCGCGGCGGTTTCCAAAACATGGTTCTAAGTTTCGCGTGTGAGCGATATAATACAATGACAATGACATTTTATGATATTATTTATATATATATATATATTATACAATGTGAGGCCCCCAAGATAGCTAAGTTGATTTATAACTTCAATAACTATGGTTTATACGCAAATAACTATAGTATTCATGGGGTTTATAAACCAAGTTATAACTGGGGGGGCCCCACATTGTACAATATTATATATATATACAATATTGTATATGTATACAATAAATTGGTGGTTAGGCATGATTAGGCCCCAACTTCTTTTGGCACCACCTTGTAGACCCTGAGTCTCCAAGTCATTGGTAAATGGTAGCCACTTTTGGGGGCTAAATGGGTCATGTGGCCTCTATTGTTTGACCCAATTTACCCCCCAAACGTACCTGGGGTGTTTGGAAAAAACCTGTTTTTTCGTTCTGCTGGTGTATTTTATGGAAATTACATGGGCGATTATAGGCTAGTCCTGTTTAAAAACAGTCGGCTAGGAGGTCGCAGAGGGTTCGGGCAACACTCAGATGTCCCTTCCCACTGTTGCTCAATCAACAATGAATATAAGCCGCAAGGTGACTGGTAGGCTAATGATGGAATGGATTCAGTTTAATCATTGCTGGCGGAAACATGATACATCATGATACCTAACTACAAGGTGAGGCCCCCCAAATAGCTAATTAAGTTGGTTTATAACTCCAACAAGTATTGTTTATGATGGTTTATGAATATTTATAACTCCAACAAGTATAGCATACTATCGTCAATGGGGGTTATAAAACGATTTATAACTTTGGCGCCCCACATTGTAGCAATGTTGGTTGAACATCAGACAGTGTCATAGCAAGGCGTGTTTTTCTTCTCAGTGATGTTTCTTGGTTTATTCACATCAGAAAAGCACATCCGTTAAGTCTAGATACAATAGATTTCTTAGTATAAAGATCTTAATATATAATGGATGTGAATGGGGTTTATAATGTATGTTAATAGATATATATATATATATAAACCCCATTAGCATCCATTATAGTTATCAACCACAAACCATAGAATTTTAAACAAGGGTCATCACTTTGTTTTTGTCGATGGCATTCATGCCGGTTCCAAGTCGCGAAAAACGCTCGAGGAACCATGCCGTGGTCCTATCGAATAATTTGTATTGGCACCTGGGTGGAACTGTGCTGGGCTGGTCTCTTGAAGGTGAGGTGGGGCTGAGCTGGCTAGGATCAGAGTATCACACAAGCTCTTTGTATATAGTGTACACATGTTATGGAATTATATGTAGTTACATATAGACCATGTAGAATTATGTATGTGAATGTATATATATAATTCTATATATATATAATTATATAATATTAAATATATATATATATTTGGTGTTGTAGCCAAAGGCCATGAAGAACATCTGTAAAACTCACGGGTCAAGATTGAGGTATTTTAGGCTCGGCTTCTTGTTGTTGGGGTTGGTAACTGTCCCATTTTGGGAATATTGGACATCACCTGAAAAAGTAGCCATCTAGTAGACCATATACCATTCATGGTTGGGTGATGTGAAAAATGGGGACATCAGTCATGACCCATGTAAAGTGGTATATGGCGGCCCGGTTGTGGCAATTTTCATGGATCAACCATTGCATTTTTATGGCTACCTTCCTTTTGGACAGACCCAGATATGATGACTATGATGTTCAAATCAGGGTTTTGCCCGGTGGACCAGCCAGACCATTCTAAGGACACCACTGAATTCCACAAAAGACATCTTATTTTGCGACCGAAACTCGTTAGTGGTAGTTTGAGATATGACCTCATCACCATATCTAGTTCCTCATGGCCAAACATTTGCATCGATGATCCATCAGATCCTGCGAGAGCCGGACCGTCAGCAGGCTCCCCGGAGCGTCCAGATCCCATGCCAGTACTGATCTCATGCCCATGATACAGTGATAAGTAAATATAATCAATCTCTTTCCCCTGATGACTTCCGCATCAGAAAGCCTGGTTTTTTGTATTCAATCCAATCAATATTTTTTGGGCGCCCAAAAAATGGATTTTGATCAGATTCAATACTGGGATTTTAAGTGAAGAATCTGATCAAATATACTCAGTCTATTGTTGTAGCCTATCTGTTTTTTCTAACATAGATGTGGAAAGTTACCAGCCATTTTCAGAGCATCCACATCTTTTTGTATGCTGATGTGGATACCATCTGCTTGGTGGTTTCAAACATTTGGATTATTTTCCATATTATATATGGGATAATCCTTCCCATTGACTAATATTTTTCAAACCACCAACCAGCCATTAAATCTCCATTAAATCACCATTATTTGCAGATCATTCTCCACATACCCGACCTAAGATTCGCTCAGGCAGGGCTATGGAAACCCCATGTGGAGCTACTTCGTTGGCCCCTCATCGGCACAGTTTTTGGGTGAAGGTTAAGACACCAAAAAACGCACAGTTGGTGCTGGTACCCTCTGGTAAACTAACATAACTATGGAAAATCATCATTTTTCATGGGAAAACTCACTATAAATGGTGATTTTCCATAGTTATGTTAAATTACCAGAGGGTATATTGACATCAATCCAAACGATTTCTGCCCGTTTTGTTGGTAAATCTTCCAACACTAAGGTGCCAAATATTTCCAGGATCTAATGGCTTTCAGACTATGTCTGTGGAAATTCATCGGGATATCATGGACATTTCCAGGGATCTTTGGATACGAAACAGTTGCATATGGTTTTTCCATGTTTTTCCCATTTCCAGGTTCCAACTTGTTTTGTAACCTTTAGGGTTAACAACCCAGTCTTACATCTTCACAGTGTTCACGGGTTGGTCATTGAAAAGTCCCCCCAAACACCGAACCTGTTTTGTTTCCAATGAGAATGGCTCAAAACCATTCAAACCCATATTTGAATATATCTAACATCCAGGACTACTTGCGATGTTGGGCTTTTTGCAGGTTTTTTTGGGGTTGATTGTTCGCTTGCAATTTCGGTATGGTTTGCGAAATTGATCCACTATGGATTTGTCTGAAATGTGATATGCGGTATACCCCAAATCCACTGCTTAATCATCATGTTTCATATGAGTTTCGCATTTACTTGCTTATTTTGGGGTGAATGAAATGATTGGTTGCTTGCTCCAATTTCAGAGAAACCCATGTTTTTCATCAATTAATCCCACAGCATGTTGCAATGTTTTCCGCAGATTTATATAGGGAACATCCTCCATTCTCCGTGACGGTCACCTGGGCAAATCCCATGGAACGCCGAGGTTTCTTGGGCCAAGATCAGGTGAACTTGGGTGGAGTGGTGGGCAATGCCAAGGTGGGCTTGAATATGACACTTGCCGCGCAACGCGTCGCGCAACGCGTTGCGTTGAGGGTTTAGGTCAACAGCATGAGGTGTTGACGTCTAAGAGTCTAAGAGTCTCAGAAAGGACCACTCGTAATGACTATGTGGCTATGTGAGTATATGTTTCTAGTATGCACCATCGATTTATTGTTGGGTACCCAATGGCCTGACGCTACAATCTATACGCACATGATATTTATACCCATATGCTCCGTGCTGGAAGACTTACCAACAAAACGGGCAGAAATCGTTTGGATTAATCTTGGTAAATATTCCAGCACCGAGATATGGGATAGAACATATCATGCAACATATGGTTTAATATCCTGTTAGTTGGATGATGGTAAAATGTTATGATGGCCCATCCAATCAATCATAAACAATCCATTGAGGATACCTCTAAACTTTAACAAAGGGGAGTAAGGGGAGTGTATAGATTAAATGATAGTCCGTGATATTCAGCAACACACATGGGGAATGTTTGCCAACAAAAATGAGGATCTTGAATCTTAATCAAAACGGGGTTATGAGAATTTTTCTGAGTAAAGATGCTCGATGGTTCTTTACTCTTTTTATCTTGATTGTTGCAGCTCCAAATGCGAACTTATGACATCGAACTAAACAAGTTTGGAGGGTACCCAAGGGGCCCTATGGCTGATTCCAGTGGATATTTGCCAAGTTTCGCACCATGTGTTCAAGCATTGCTGTATATTGTGTTGGCGTCCGAAAGCTGACCAGTTTGGAGTAGTTCATTGCAATTAGTAGTGTTGAGAGTTTCCAGTCTAGTAAGGTTCTATAAATCAAGGTTTTGATTTTTTTCTGAAAATTTTCTGAAACATTTCTGAATCAAATTTCTGAAATATTTCTGAAAAATTTCCGAATCCAGAGATTTTCTGCTGCCAACCATTCAAAAATGAAGGAAACTAGCTGTTTTGCTGCTATTTTCAAACTGCTTTTCTCGAATTTTGACGAATTTCAGAATTTTTTCAGAAATTTTTCAGAAAATTTTCAGATTTTTTTCAGAATTTTTTCAGAAATTTCTGAAAATTTTCTGAAAAATTTCTGAAAAAAAATTGAAATATTTCTGAAAAAATTATGAATCCAGAGATTTTCTGCTGCCAACCATTCAAAAATGAAGGAAATTAGCTGTTTTCAAAGTTCTCAGCTAGTTTTTCATACTTTTGGCAGTTCCCAGGTACCAAAAGTGGAGGAAAACTAGCTGTTTTGCTGCTATTTTCAAACTTTTTGCGTTGCTTTTCTCGAATTTTGACGAATTTCAGAAATTTTTCAGAATTTTTTCAGAAAATTTTCAGAATTTTTTCAGAAAATTTTCAGAAATTTCTGAACATTTTCTGAAAAAAATCTGAAATATTTCTGAAAAAAATATGAATCCAGAAATTTTCTGCTGCCAACCATTCAAAAATGAAGGAAACTAGCTGTTTTGCTGCTGTTTTCAAAGTTTTCAGCTAGTTTTTCATTACTTTTGGCAGTTCTGCTGCTATTTTCAAACTTTTTGCGTTGCTTTTCTCGAATTTTGACGAATTTCAGAATTTTTTCAGGAAATTTTCAGATTTTTTTCAGAAATTTCTGAAAATTTTCTGAAAAATTTCTGAAATATTTCTGAAAAAATTATGAATCCAGAGATTTTCTGCTGCCAACCATTCAACAATGAAGGAAACTAGCTGTTTTGCTGCTGTTTTCAAGCTGTTTTCAGCTAGTTTTTCATTACTTTTGGCAGTTCTGCTGCTATTTTCAAACTTTTTGTGTTGACATCTCGAATTTTGACGAATTTCAGAAATTTTTCAGAAATTCTAGTCAGAAATATTTCAGAAATATTTCAGAAATTAATCAAATTTATCCAGTACCTCAGCAGGCTGGGCAGAAAGTCTCAATAGTAGTGTGTATATGTCCTTTTTCTCATTTGAGCATCAAAGAAAGAGTTGCTTCCGTTCTGTGATGCTGAACCGTCTAAACGTGCTGAACAAATGCTAAGATAAAGCATTGGACAAGCGCAAACAAAGGATGAACAAATGGCTGTCATCTTGATGAGACTACATGAAAATTAGTTGCACACATTTCTACACCATAACTTGTCTTCGAAAAAAATATTGACACCTTGTCCCTCCACAAGTCTATTGTCGTGGCAGATTGCAACACCTGTTGGAACTGAATAAACAAAATATCGAATTTCATCATTTTGAAACTTCCAAGAGATGCGATTCACTTAATAGTGGAATTCCAACCAATTAGATAGTGATACCAGTTGGTAACTGTTCGTACATCTCCGTGGTTTTCAGATATGTTGTGTCTTCATCCCTGTTTGCAATGATAGTGACAGAGCAAAATCCACCTTCCATCTGAGGATCGGCAATGCGCCACTGGGGAATATGTTTCAATCAGTGCCTTGCACCGCTGGTCAGTTGGTCAGTGGGGTTACCATCGGAGGTGGAAACGGTGTAAGATTGCTTCCGTGCATGTTTCAAAAGGCCAAATTTCACAAGTATAATATAGCTTGTAGCGTGGCCTTTGTTTTCAATCAGAGGGCGCCAAAGTTAAAAAAAAGAGCGGGCGGATTTCTTCTGTTCCATTCTGTTCCTATGTTCCTAAATAGAGACGCATTTGTTTATTGCCAACAGAGCCCATGTTGGGATCACGGCCTGCAAAGAACGCGTCGCTCTTTTTGGTGTCCGTAGATTGATACTGCCAACGCACTGTCACAGCAAATTGTTTGCTTCTGATATGGGGATGAGTCTACGCATTTTTTAAGCACAACATACAGTAGCTGGGATTGATGGATGTTCATCCCCCAGATATGATAAAAGATAATATAGGGGTGTTAATTTTGATATATAGCGACGGACATATACTTAGAACATCATTTTTCCAAAATTTCGGAACCTCCTCTTAGAACATCAAAATTACCATACTTAGAACATCAGACATGTTTCTAAGTACGCACTTAGAACATCAGAAAAAACAGATACTAAGAACATCTCCTTTGATTTTTGCATACTTAGAACATTAAAACACATATACTTAGAACATGTCCTGTTACTTTGGTAAATCTGCATATATACAAATACCTTGGTGAACACCATACTTAGAACACTTTCTCCCCTCACTGCTGCAGCAATGGGAAGGTCTCTAGTAATTTGTGGGTTTCCTACAGGGGTAGTCAAAAAGCATAGGTTTCAATACTAAAATGAGCTAAAATGAATTATGTATAATTTTGTATGAATGACAAATACTTCGAACATACATATATGTATGGTTCCCATTGGTTCCCCACTGGGATGTTCTAAGTATAGCTTGGAAATGTTCTAAGTATAGCTAGGTTTTGGGTATGTTCTAACTACTTTTTTTGAAACCCATACTTAGAACATCCCCGCTGTGACGATTTTCAGAATTGTTTTCCAAATGAAGTTCTAAGTATTTGTTCGTCGCTATATAATTAGTTTGATCTATAGCCATATGTGATCATATAAAATCATATACCAATAGTATCCCAATTTATACAATGATACCAAATTATGGTATGATAGCTGCTGATAGGTGCTGACTCATCACATCCCAAATTTTGGAAATTTTCTCGACCTGAGTTGGCCGCCAGAATTGGCGTGTTCCAAACAGAATCCGAGGTTCATCTTTTGATAGGGTCAGTATTATATGTACTTTAACGTTTTGTTGTTCAATGTTTGGATGGATTAAATATGAACTGATTCTATTGGTTCTTTATTCATATTAGCCTAGGCCTAGTATATATTGTTTTTTTCCCACCCGTGATTGTCTGGTTATTTGAATGGTATCGGATCCTGGAACCTCCGAGGTTTCAACGGATTCCGGGATGCTTGGCCTTTTGCCCGGATGCTTTTCGGATCAATGCAGGGGCCCAGAGGATTACGATGAGCCTCGCCAGGAATTACTGGTGCGTTTTACGTAGGGAATGGATGGGAGTGGGGGTTGCCGGGATGATTATTACTAGTGATTCTGGATCATTCCCTCATTCCCTCATTCCCTACTAAGCACCAGTAAGAAAATTTCTGGCAGACCTTCAAGTGTGACAGTAGCCATAAGACATCATAAAGCAAGGTACCACGAGACAGCCAGGTTCCATGTAACCCAAGGTCAGTACCCATTTGCTTAGGCTTGAATCATGTTGAATTGATATGTTTCATGTTCCATCGTCATTGCTGGATTGTATACCCAGGTCATCTAGTGTTGCCAAGAAATCCAAGACAATTCAGCCAGATCTCATTGCCAGAACATAACATACTATGCACACGTCTCGAACTATGATTATGTTGGTCTACTGTATACGGTATGCATATGCATATATATATATATATATTTGTCATTATTATTATTATTATATTATTATTATGATTATTATTATATTATTATTATTAATAATACTATTATTATTATCATTAGTATTATCATTATATTATTATTATTATTATTATCATTAGTATTATCATCATGATTATCATATTACAGCCTGTGAGTCCCCCCTTTTTGTTGCGTAGATTCCCCATGTCACGTTTTTGGTACATCTCCATGGCATCTCCTTTGTGCAGCTGTGACGACGAGGATTTGTTGTCCACTCTGGCGAGACAAGGCAAGATTCAGCGAGCCTTCACGATGTGTTTTCATGACGGCACCTTGGACGGTGAGCTGGTGGGTTTTCGCGAAACCTTGGAGAATGACTAGTAGTGACTAATGACTAGTTTTTCATAGGCGTTTAATATAGTTTCATATACTTTAGTTTACTCTAATGTAAGTTAATTTGATATACTTTCGATTACTTTAAAACCCAGCCAAACCCAGATATAGGTAACCGTTGGGCGAGTTTCCTTGTGGTTCTGGCGGTTAGTTTCATACTTGACAGGTTCGTTGCATGTTTGACAGGTAATTGGAAGATGGCAGATACTTCTGTTGTCGTATTTTGCTCTAAATCTGGCAGAATTATAAATGTATAGTGACTTAATAGTGTAGTGATGTCAGCATAGATGATGGGTAGTAGGTGGAATAATTCTGATATTTGTTTCAGGGTGGTGAACTACTATAATTTAGCCAGATAAAAGGGAATATTATATTACACATTAATATACTGTAGCATCTTAGTTTTTGTTTTTTGCCATGGTATCCAAAATTGGCCATGACCGTTTTCACCAAAATATGTTTTTGGTCTAAGAATTTATTTTTCCGATTAGAGTACCCTATACTGCATTTGTTAAGCAATCTTGTGTCCTTTTTTCAGTTGGTCCATCCAACAAAAAAACTTCTCTTTTTCTGGCATATATGTTTGGTGAAAAATGGAAATGGCACCAATCTGATTGGAATGTCTGTCCCACGAGATGGATCTAGTGGCAATTTCATCTGAATTGCGGCAGGTCTGACATGGTCTAATTCTGCATTAAAAATTGACCAGCAAATGTGAGAATAAAATCAGCAAACATCAAGATTTAGCCAACAAACATGGAGATGTTTTTTCCATCAAACAAACATGTGAATAGAATGGGATGAGTGATTTATAATTCATAATCCCTTTCAGCACATGTTCAATGTGTGTTGTTGGATCCACGATCTCCCGATTTGCCATCGGGGTAAACTGGCGGTAAACTGGCGCAGAGCTAAAAGGACATGTCCCCAGTTATTTATACAATGTGAGGCCCCCGAACGATAGCTAAGTTGGTGAACATAACTTCAATAACTATGGCTTATTATACTTATAACTATAGTCTAACGGGGTTTATAAACCAAGTTAGAACTGCGGGGGGCCCACATTGTAGTTGATTTTTCCAGCTATAAAGCTCCATTTCGGGGACTTTCCCATCTTTGATTAGCATTTGGTAAGTCATCAAAGCCCAGGTCCTGAGGGTGGCGGAAAACTTTATTTAGGCCGCTTGGCGGTGAAATCATGCGGGACATGGAGCCTTCTTTGGAACCTGGTCATGACTGTGACCTAAAGGATGAAAAAAAAACAGCGCATGCATTGGAGATTTGGAGATGGTTTATGATGGTTTATGATGGAATCACCAGAATTCCTAACTATTTAACTATTTGGTGAGAGATTTGCATTGGCCAAATTAAGGTCTTAAGGTCTAAATCGTTGTAGACGCTGTGTATGAGGCACCTCATGGTACAAAAAAAAGCCGCACGGTAGGGCATGATGAATCCTGGGATTCTGCGGAGGCATGTATTTTCCCAGCAGATCCAAACCGATTTCGGGGGGAATGATCCCAGTCATAACTACAATGTGAGGCCCCCCAGTGATGTTTGTTGGTTTAGAAGCCCCAATAACTAGCTCGTTATAAGTACCAGAAAAACCATAGTGAAATTGGAATTATAAACTAACTGAACGCTATCGAACGGGGGCCTCACATTGTAGTGATGACTGGGATCATTCCCGAAAATTCCCTGCGTTTAGCACCAGTAAGTATTGTCCATCCAATCTACTGTATGCCAATCTATTTGATACATCTATGATATCTCTATATATACATTATAATTCATACATCACTGGTTGGTGGTTTCAAACATTTGGATTATGTTCCATAATATATATGGGATGTCATCCTTCCCGTTGACTCATAAGTTTCAAGATGGTTATCGCACCACCAACCAGCTCAGCTAATATACAGTATTTCTATTGTCCATCCGGTGAACATGATCCATCATGATCCTGACTTTTAAACCATGTATATATATATATATATTCAATCCACCTTCAAATTTCAGCTACGAAATGGGGAGGACTTGGGCTACAGTACAGATTGCCAGCCAGGATTTTTTTGTACAAACAGGAGGGGTTGTGCCCCCCATTTTGTATTTGGAATCATTTTGTAGTTGATTCCTTTCAAATCATCATTTTCATTTTGTAGTTGTATATGTTGAGTTAGTTGAAGCATCCAACATAAAATATAATTAGCATTTTGTAGTTGTACAAGTTGAATAGTTGAAGCACCCAACATAAAATCTCATTTGCATTTTGCATTTGAAGAGGTGAGAAGAGGTGGAAAAAAGGAAACAGTGCGTGACATGTACATGGACACAAACAGATCATGAAGCTACAGAATGCCATCTAACAAACTGCACGGGGTCAACACTTGATCCAACTTAATTCAATCATTGACAACTACAAAATGTTCTCCGAATTTATGTTGGTCGGACCTTTGGATGGCAAAGACCCAACTACAAAATGTCATTGGGAAAAATCATGTTAGCAATTCCGTTGTTCAGCTATTTTTTAACTTCAGATGCATTGGATTTTGTAGTACTGGTTTTGAATTATTTTCCGAGCCAGAAAGAGTTATGTTCTTCATTTTGTAGCTGCAAAAAAAGCAACATGGACTGCATTTTGTAGTTGTGCACCCTATGCATTCCGCTTTGTATCTACCAAAACCATCTGCACAACTCCTCCCCCCTTATCTGAACCCTGATTATATTCAGGGTAAATTATAACGACCTCACTACGACCTCACTGGAATCATGGTTGGTAAGGGGGATTATCCTCAAATAGCCTTATTTCAGGTTAGTGAAATATTCTAATTTACTCAGATATATATGTTAGGATGGTTCAACCTCCAATGGCTCGCCATTGCTTTCTGACCATTCTGACCTCAGGAAAGCCTGAGGTTCCCAATGATGCCACGATCATCAGTATCAAGGATGAACAGCTGCTGAACACGGGCTTGTGAAAGACTTACTGGTGCGTTTTACGTAGGGTTGCTGGATGGGTTGCTTGGGGTTGCTGGGATGATTATGAAACTAATGATGACTGGGATCATTCCAGAAAATTCCCTACGTTTAGCACCAGTAAGAGTGAAAGATCATGTTTCGATTTGATGTCCATACTGCGTATGTTTGCAGGGGTCCCACAAGTTGCATGAAAATGACTTTCAACAGGACGCATAAAACGTTGATGAAATCGAGTTACCAACAGCAATTCCTCACGGCAATTTGTTTTTGGTTTTTTTTGCTTATCTGATTGCTCCATGCCAGATTTACCAACAAACCGGGGCCATGGATTGTGGGACAATCATGGATCATCGATCGATATTCCATGGATTCCATGGCAACGGCCGCCTTTGTGCCCCGAGAGTTCTAAGTTGTTTAAACAAAACCATTCACGTCCATTTATATGTATAATTATATGTATATGTTCAGAATTATTCAGAATTACGCCAACACTCATTAGAATAGTTCCATTTTGTTAAAACTAACATTAACTAACTCTAAATCACGATTTCATGAAATTACATCTTTTGCTGGCTAAATGATCCCATTGTTCGATCATCACTTTTCAGTAAAAGCGCCAAGTGGCGTTTGGTCCAAGGTCTGGTACCCTTAACCAATGGGCAGAGTCCCTACTCGCCTCTGCCCCTCGGACATACCGTTTCGGATACTGAAGGATACTGGACAGTGGGTTGGCTGGATCGGCACGGCAAAAAAATCAGCAACCAGCCACTCAGCATAGCAGAAATTCTGGTAAAAAAACATCATATCGTGATGGTTTTACCAGCAAAAAATGGTGGTACTATTTAATAAGGTTTAAGCATCCTAAAATGGGAGGCAATGCAAGTCATGACAGACCAGTCGAAACTCTGGTTTTTTATGTATCTAGTCAGTCTAGTCATGACTTCGGGGTCAACCGGGGGTTATGTTCTACAGGGATGAGACAAAATTTGGTGGGAAATACATCCCCGGTAGACTCCACTGTCCAGTGGGATGATGTAAAGCCCTTAGAAAACCAAAGAAACGTGTTGGCATATGGTCAATTGCTTGGAAAGATCATACAATGTGCGGCCCCCGTTCGATAGCGTTCAGTTGGTGAACATAACTCCAATAACTATGGTTTATGGTACTTATAACTATAGTTACTGGGGCTTTTGTTAACAAACTTATGACTGGGGGGCCTCACATTGTAGGTGGTAGACCTTTCCATTCGTAACTGGCCTCGAAAGAGGTCAACGTTTGACGGCAATTCCTATGTGGCATCGCGACGGCACTAGGCTCCGGCGGTGATGTTGTTTCTGTTTGGACCCACTGTGGTTATCCTTAAATCAGAAACTATGCCCTGGTTGATGGTTTCAAACATTTGGATTATGTTCCATAATATATGGGATGTCATCCTTCCCATTGACGAACTCATATATTTCAAGATGGTTAAAACATGTTAAAACCACCAACCAGATGCCCAATTGCCATTGATTTGTGGCACCATGCTATACCCCTGGTGATGTAACCCTAACTGGATTCATATGGACTCTGATGGAGCGTAGAATCCACCGGTGCTGACTTCATGAAGAACATTATCCTTCAATCAAACATGGCTGGAAAAAATCGCCATTTGTAGGTGATTCTCCAAGTAAAACCCCATTTTTCAATGGGATGTTCAAGTGCCACGTTTGATTACCAGATGGAATTTAGGATGCTCAAATGATTTTTAAGCAACAACCTTGGACCTTTTGGGGGGTGACCTTGGATTGGCACTGTAGTACGTTAATCTCTTGCCATACGTGGACATATGTTGTTACTACCCAGTTGTTTTATATTTTGAAGGTTATCTAAGATATAGGATAGATAGGAGGCCGATATTTACAGGGGAGATGTGTATGAATCAGCACCAAATCTCCAGCAAATAGGAAGCGATTCACCTGGCCATATCTTCTACTTCGATTGCTAGGGGTGTCTTTTTGCTTGCGGCTGGTGATTTAAAAAAAAGGGCGGTGTTTTTGTTCACCCACATCCGCCACTAAGGAGTTCTACTTCGGTCATGTCATGGTGGGGTCGAAAAAGGTGATGGAGTGGAATAACATGATGGAAAACTTTGGCGGGTACTCAGATACTGGTACCTCGAGCCTCAAAGCCTTGGTTTTTGGGTGGTGTGGTTTTTACGGGTGTCTCCGAAGGGGAAGACTTCTTGGTGATTTGGGCATAAAACGGGTGTTATGTGGGAAACAAGTATATAATATATATATATATACATATTATAGAGATATAGATATTTATATACTTCTTTATGATTCTTTATGTATTAGATGCAGATACATATTTTGGGATCAATGAAGAACCCTACCAACGGGGATGCACATCCAAGTAGGATAAATGATATCATTTTGGGTGTTCCAACTCAGCAGTCTCAGCATCTTTGATATCACAAGAGGGGGATCCCAAAGAATTGGTAAATTGGTGGATTAAAAAACTAGGCCAAACCATGGGATTTTTTCAGAAATTGATGGATTTTTTTTCATGGTGGATTCCTGCGGGTCCCCCATGGTCCCCCTCGAAAAATCGAATCACATTTCCAGGATGCCGCTACGCAAGAGAAACTTTCAGAACCATTAATATCTGGACAAATTTCATCACGACCGAACCCTGTTCTCCCGAACCCTGGAATCATGGTTCATAAGGGAAATCATGCCAACATGGTTTTAATTCGGGTTAGTGACATATTATTACTTACCCGGATATATCCATGGATTGGTGAAACACAAAACTGAAAAGACATCAGAACAGCAAGTCATCATATCTATATAGTTGTTTCAACTTGAGAAAAGTCTTTGTTTGTTGGCCTTTCTCCTTTTTATCATTTGGCTTTGTCTGAAAATGGTGTATCCCATTGTATCCACTGGCTAATCATCATGGATTCCCTATATAAATGGCCTTTTTTGGTGGGTATAGAAAAAACGCCATGTTCATCCATTTTCAATGGCTTCCAGATGCCAAATGTTTAAGCCTTGGTTTGACGATGGGAACACCCAGGGGAAAATAATCCCGTTTTGGATTCGGTTTGAGCCTTCCAGTTTTCCCTGTCAAGATTTCAAGTGGGATCAAGTTGGAGGCTTCCGGTGGCCCAAAAACACCTGGGAAATTTGTGCTGCAATTGGAAGATTTGGAAGTGGGATAACATGACCTCCATCTTCCTCCCAGCTGGAATCAGAGATGCCATGCCGAGTCTGAGGGCATCATCTCAGTCCGCTTCCAAACAAATCAGGCCATGTAAAAGGCTTATGGATCCCCATCATTCCGGCATTATACCCTATTGAGGGCTGTTGTTGTTCTTTTGAATACAGCAGACCTCCCAAAAAAAAACAACAGTTTTGACACGACATATAAACCACTCTTTTAGTTGAAGTCTGACTTTACTGTTCCATGTTCTATCTTTTCATGAGCTTCAATGGATTGCTACTTCAAAGGGATCGTTCCTGTCGCCAAGGTACACCTGGTTTGATGTTGCCTTCCAACGTCTACATGAAGATCTTTGATGAGCTCCGAAACGGCGCCTTGGGCGAATCCTTGGGGAGGAGCAGGGGAATCTTTGGGCAAAATCACCAAAAAAGAACGAAAAACAGCAAGACATGTAGGAGGATTAAGAGGGAACATCATGAAATAGACCATTCCATTGAAAAAAATATGAAAAAATCAAATGTTTGGGGTGCCCGATTTTTTTGGACAGAAACCCACCTCAAGACATTGAGATACAACCTGATACACCACGCTAATATTTGGTGGCTAGTTTGATTACTTGTAGACGTTACCTATCTCGTTTGAAATTTGGAGGACCTATAATAACACCCAAAAAGATGGGAAGGTGATTTACCAAATTTTCCACTAGATCAGCCGGATATCTTTTCTTTTTTTGGGGGGTACTAGAACTCAAAAATCTCCTTGGAATTCATCAACATGTCTCTGGATTTGAGCCGTAGTTGGGTGCTCACCAACCACAAGTTGTGTTTTAAATCAGTGAAACTTCACGCGATCCTGGTGTCTCCATGCGGTGGGGTGACTTTACGCGACCATGGGTGACTTAACGCGGCCACCAAGTAGTTGAACTGTGGGGCTTCACCATGAAACAAGCTCCTCATGGCTCCGCACTTGAAGATCATTGTCCAAGGATTGGCGACAGATGAGCAATGCTTTTCTCTGTGGGGCTACTCATTGCAGTATCTCGGCGCAATGCCTGGGCCCAGCAACAGGCGACAGGCAGGGGTCAGAGGCTGGAAATATATGGAGAAATCAGCGGCTGCCCTGAGTTGGAAAGGAGTTGGGTTGGGCTCAACAAGAACATGTCCAAGTCTCAGGTTTGGCAGAATTGGATTCATGATGATTCATGAAAGTTTACAGGGAAGCCCTATGATGATGCTGGGTAAAACCATGGTTTCCTCTGTTTTCATTGCTTTCCAGTCGTCTCAAGTGACCTGCACTAGGAAGCTGCAGACCGGTGGTCAAATCACGGTTTCTGAAGTTGCCGCAGAATGCGCCAAGCCTTACTTGACACTTGGCTAAACACAGCTAGATGTGTTTTCTAAATCTGCTAAAGAGTAAACCCAAGAATGATTTTTTAAAGGTGTCATTTTGGTTGCGCCACAAACATGTAAACCACTGGGGTCTAATTCTTCGGTTTGCCACATGAATCCAGGATGTTTTTCCTCGCGATCAACCCCGCGAGCTGAAGCCAACAATAGAACTGTGTTTCCAGGTGGAATGAATGACTTTCACTTCCGATTTCCAGCTTTCACACGTTTCATTCTCATTGGAGCTTGCGAAAAACACACATGTCGGGTTTCAAAATTAGGTACCCCAAAAACTGGATGCTTAACACATCTTAATACATGTTAATATTACAAAGGTCGAACATCTGCGGGAAAACCGTGGGATCCTGGGTCTTCAGGAAAGATTTTGAAGTGAAGCTGGGCCCCGGTGTGGCTTGACTCTGTTAATGTCGGGAAGGTCAAAAAAACAGGAGAGAAGTAACTAAGTAAAATCCCCAAAGCGATGTAGTGTAAATTGCTGTCCTATTTTTTTGGGGGGTTACAAACCATGCTGATGTGATCCGACGTTAATTTTTTCTCCATGGTCGACCAGTCGGATTTTTTCTATGCAGCTGAAGGGTGAGGCGACCTGTCTGAGGTCAACAAAAAGTTGTGTTTTCACCATGAAAAAAGGGGCTCCTGTTTATTTCATTTTAAGCAATTTGCTATCCATGGATGCCATCCATTTAAGTATTAATGACCTATCTGATAGATTGGATGCAGTTTTTGAAGACGCTATCAGATACTATCGCTATGAACAATGAATCATTGATGATTTCTGATTCTTTACCATTGTTGACCATTGTTTACCCCTTAATCCTTGATGATTTTCCAGTCACGGGTCGAATCACCTCAGTCCAGGTCTCGATCACGGTGTCCAAGTCGAGTTTCTTTTACGAGCGCCTGGGCCTAGAGGGGCCCGAAATCGCTAGGGCAATGGTGCCACCCTTGGCGTTGGGAAATTTGGATGATTGACCAGTGGAGTTTGGGGGGGTTCTTCCACATCTCTTGGACAAACCCATCTAAGTTTTGAGAAAATATGGTTTGAGATGGTTTGAGTGGTAAAAAAAGGTGGATTGGTTGTCAAGCCAGAAACCGATAAATAAGATATAATGCAAGACATGTTATGAGTCATGTGTTTTGTCTTCTTTGCGTTCTCTTTGTTGTTGGCTTCCTCCTATGTCTACAGTTCATGTTTCTTCTTGCTAGTTTCACGTTTTGGTGGCATACAGCCAGGCAGCCAATCCAACAACAAATCATACAGCGGCCAGCCCATGAGCAAAAAGCAGAACTCAAATTAATGCCTCTGCAAAAGAGTCTGTGGATATCTGTGGACTGTTCCTAGTTGTGCTACTGATATGACGTTTGAAACTTAGCCCCATGAATTTGCAATGGTTCAGTTGGTAATTGCAGTGAGAATCCAAAAAGTTAGCCACTGAGTCACTGAGAAGATATCATGACCACACAGCTTCAGGAGATTTGGCTGTGGCTCGAATGGTTTCAGATCTTACTGGCCTGCCTTGGTCCAGTAAGTCATCGACCCACAAGGTGGTACCCCATAGTTGCCATAGCTTGGTTGAAATGGTGTTTATGAACCAACATCACTGGGCTGCACTACCTCATACCCAACTCCTTAGCTTTGCCCAGTCATCCTTAGCCTACCAGGACGGAGCCTTGTTCGAAGCAATACGGGATTTCATGGGTTTCCAGCGGTAGCGAAAGCATGATTTTTGGTCGCTCAGGCTGCAACATAGAAGGGCGTGGGATCGGCGTTGTCGACACCAACCCTGGCTTTCTCAAGAGGTTTCGGCAGAGTCCCGAAGCTACTATTTGTGGGATGTTCTGATACGGTTCTGATTTTTTTTGGATGATAAACCATGATAAAACTATATAAATAAAACTCATGTAACACCAATGGAAAGCACGTGGTCGACACTTCGCCAGGGTGTCCAGGCGACTCTGTAGTGAAACCCTCCCTGTCCACTAGCCCTGACCCAGCTGAGTGACCGAGCGTGATATTGTTTGCCCGGGCGAAGTGATCCTGCTATGCCAAGATATGCCAACATTGTTTTGGGGATGGGTGCTAGATTTGTCCAGCTCTTTGTTGGTGAAGTGTCCCAATTTTTACTCTGTTCACCCCGATGGGTGAATTACTGTATTGAGATTCAGCCAGATATGAAGCTTTGAAACCTGGGTTTAGTATCGGATCTATTCGTTGTCGAGCCCATACGTGAGGATATTTTGATACATTTTGTATGATTGCGGGAAGGGATTATCGACTAAATATCCCCATTGTACCGGCCTGTATCACCATGAAATATCCCATTATATCTCATGAAATATCCTACTATATCCTAACTATATCTTCCATAAAACTGAGAATTACCAGTAGCACCGCACAAGGCGGTGGCGGAAGTTTCAAAAATAGGAAACCTATAGGAGAGGTTGGTTGTTGTGAATCAGGGATGGCAGCGCGAAGCCGCTGATGGACCGAAAGGTGGTTGAGGTCTCCTCTCTTTCTCTTTCTTTCTCTGACTATCTACCTACCTACCTACCTACCTACCTATCTATCTATCTATGTATCTATTTATCTATCGATCTATCTCTTTCATCTAACTACCTAATTATGCCTATCTGTCTATCTGTCTATCTATCTGTCTATGTCTCCACCCATCTATTTCTCTATTTGTCTTGGTATCTAACTATCTGTCTATGTGTCTATGTAGCTATCTGTCTAGCTCGCCATCTATTTCTCTAGCTGTCTCTCTGACTATTTATCTATCTGTCTGTCTGTCTGTCTGTCTGTCCATCTATCTATGTATCTATCTGTCTGTCTATCTATCTATCTCTCTATCTCTCTATGTATATATCTATCTCTCCATGTATCGATATCTATCTCTCCATGTATCGATCTTTGTATCTATCGATCTATCTATCTATCTAGCTAGCCATCTATCTATCTATCTCATCTACCCAGCTGGCCTCTCTCTCTCTCTCTCTTTCATCTAATTACCTATCTATCTATCTACCTATCTATCTGTCTATCTATCTATATTTCTATCTATCTCTCCCTTTCATCTGTCTATCTGTCTAGCTGTCTACCTGTCTATCTGTCTATCTGTCTATCTGTCTATCTGTCTGTCTATCTATCTATCTATCTAACTATCTATCTATCTATCTATCTATCTATCTGTCTACCTGTCTACCTGTCTATCTGTGGTGCAGTGTCATTCAGTGTAATGTACTCGTAGTGTGGTGTAGTGTAATTTAGTGTAGTGGAGTGTACTGGAGTGTAGTGTAGTGTAATGTAGTGTACTGGAGTGTAGTGTAGTGTAATGTCCTCTAGTGCAGTGTAATGTAGTGTAGTGAAGGGAAGCGACATCTGAACCTCCAAAAATACCCGAACCCCTAGTGCTTTGAACATTTTGACTTCGAAATGTCCTTCGCACCACAACGGCATGCACTTTTTCGACATCCGAACCTCCAAAAGTGGTCCGAACCCTGGGTGTTTTTAACCTTTTGACTTCGAAATGTGCTTCGCGCCACAACGGCGTGCGCTTTTTCGACATCTCAACTGCCAAAAGTGGTCCGAACCCCTGGTGTTTTTAACCTTTTGACTTCGAAATGTGCTTCGCGCCAAAACGGCGTGCACTTTTTCGACATCTCAACTGCCAAAAGTGGTCTGCACCTGGTGTGTCTTGTACATTTTGACTCGAAATCTGCTTCGCGCCACAACGGCGTGCACTTTTTCGACATTGCAACTTCCAAAAGTGGTTTGACAATGGTGTGTTTTGTACATTTTGACTTGGAAATGTGCTTACAACGGCGTGCACTTTTTCGACATCTCAACTGCCAAGAGTGGTCCGGAGCTGCTGTGTTTTGTGCATTTTGACTTCGAAATGTGCTTCGCGCCACAACGGCGTGCAATTTTTCATCTCTCATCTGGCCAGATGGCTCCGCACCCGCCGCTTTAGCGAGCCTACTTTTCGACCCTCCGGAGCCACAAACCATTCGAAGAACACAGTGTTTCGCGACTTTCCTACCTTTTCGCGCATCTGCATCTTCTTTCTTCTGACTCTTTCTCTTCACTGACCTTCTCTCTTCTGTGACTCTTCCCATCTCTACTTTTCATCTGTCCATTCTGTCGGAAGTTTGACTTCTAAACTTCCTTCGATAATATTTATATAATTATCCATGAAATATCCCACTACATCCTATTTATCCCATAAATTGTTGAGATTTGTTCCCAAATCCTGGAAAAAACTTCAATCTAGTTCGGTCATGGCCTGTCCCCGAATATCCAACCTCTACCCGGTACAGCTCTGACAGCCCTGGCAGCCAAATCCATTTTTGATAAAGATAACAGCTGCAACAGCAATCTCAGCAATTTTTGGAGGTTTCCTAAAATGGGGGTACCCCGTAGGATTTTCCATTATAAACCATCCAGCTATTGGGGTACCCCCATTTATAGAAACCCCATTTAGATTTCCTACACGGCCAAGGTACAGCCCTGAACTATGGCAAGTCGATACTCTACGACACCACGGACCTGTCCGCACCAAAGATGGTTGCGCCTGGGAACGACACAAATCAATGGATTTTTCATGGGACTTAATGAGATTTGGGGGTTTCCATAAATGGGGATACCCCAAAATGGATGGTTTATAATGGAAAATCATACGAAAGTGGATGATTTGAGGGTACCACCATTGTAGGAAACCTTCATTTAATGGCATAGAATGAGATAAAATGGGTGAAAACACTCTGGTAAACTCACATAGCTATGGAAAATCTGCTTTTTAATCGAAGGAAGTTTAGAAGTCAAACTTCCAACAATATGGACAGATGGAAAAGCAGAGGTGGGATGAATCAGAGAAGAGAAGAGCAGAAGAGAGAAGATCAGAGAAGAGAAAGAGTCAGAAGAAAGAAGATGCAGGTGGAAAAGGTAGAAAAGTTGCGATTCACTGTGTTTTTCCAATGATTTGTGGCTCCGGAGGGTCGAAAAGTAGGCTCGCTAAAGCGGCGGGTGCGGAGCCATCTGGCCAAATGAGAGATGAAAAATTGCACGCAGTTGTGGCGCGAAACACACTTGCAAGTGAAAAAGCTAAAAGCACTTCACATTCGGAGCAGTGTTGAAAGTTGCGATGTCGAAAATGTGCACGCCGTTGTGGCACGAAGCACATTTCCAAGTCAAAATTTACAAAACACCTCAGCTTCCGAGCACTTTTAGAAGTTGTGATGTCGAAAAAGTGCACGCCGTTGTGGCGCGAAGCACATTTCCAAGTCAAAAGTGTAAAAAACTGACGGGTTGGGGGCGCCTTTGGACGTTCAGAGGTCGTTTTGCGTGGCAGGCGCAAGAAGGGATTGTGCACCTTGTCGAAAGTGAGCAAAACGTGAGGGCTTTGTAGCAGTTTCAACTGTAACCACCACTACACTACACTGCATTCCACTCCACTCCGCTCAACTACACTACAACATACTACAACTACATCTACAACTACAAGTATAATTACACTACACTACACCACACACTAAACCACACACTACATTACACTACACTAATTACAGTTCCACTACACTACACTCCACTTCAGTTCTTTACACTACACTACGCTACGCTACGCTAGGCTACACTACGCCACACTACATTACACCACACGCTGAACCACCGACTACACCACACACCACGCACTACACCTTACACCACACACTACACCCTACGCCACACACTACACCCTACACCACACACTACACCCTACACCACACACTACACCCTACACCACACACTACACACTACACACCACACACAACACCACACACAACACCACACACTACACCACACAGTACACCACACCCTGCACCACACACTACACCACACACTACACCACACACTACACCACACACTACACCACACGCTACACCACACACTACACCACACACTACACCACACACTACACCACACACTACACCACACGCTACACCACACGCTACACCACACACTACACCACACACTACAAAACACACATTACACACTACACATTACACACTACACACTACACACTACACACTACACTACACAACACTACACAACACTACACTACTCCACACACTACACACTGCACACTGCACACTGCACACTGCACACTACACACTACACTACACAACACTACACTACACTACACTACACTACACTACTCCACACTACACACTACACACTACACACTAGACACTACACACTACACACTACACTACTCCACACTACACCCTACACACTACACACTGCACACTACACACTGCACACTGCACACTACACACTACGCACTACACACTGCACACTACACACTAGCACTACACTACACTACACCACACCACACGCTACTACTACAACTACCTGACAACTACAAATACATAACTCTACACTACATTACACTATACTAATTACATTACACTCCACTACACTACACGACACCACACTACACTACACTAATTGCAACTACAGCTACAACTACAACTACACTACTTTACACTAGACTACACTACACTACACTACCGTACATCACTTTACACTACACTCATTACACCACCACCCACCACAACTGCAACTGCAACTACATTACACTAATTGCACTTCACCACAACTACAACTGCACTACACCACAACTACAACTACAGCTGCACTACCCCACACTACATCCAGCAGTTGTGGGTGAGGTGACCGACCAGGTGACCACTGCAACCATTGTAACCACTCCAAGAAACACGACTCCAACCACCTTTCGGTCAATCAATCGGTTCGCTCTGCCATCTGTGATTCACAACAACGAACCTCCTATAGGTTTCCTATATTTGAAACTTCCGCCACCGCCTTGCGCGGCACTACTGGTAGATAAATCAACGAACTAATAATATCTAATAATCATTTTCCATAACTGTGTGAGTTTACCTGAGGATAAAGATGACTTGCATGGTTTTGGTCCGTTTTGTTTGCAATAGTGGCGTTTTTGAAGATATGGTCTATCTTTTTGGGGTTACTCTGTGGCGATATATATATATATATATATCTGACTGGGTATGTTGTTGCAGGGCATCTAAAATTGACCACGGAAGAAACGCACAAAAAATATAAGCAACAGTACCGGAGATAAGAATGATATATTGTATATAGTAATCATAGTTGGTTTAGTGGTTTCTACATTGTACCTGTGTTCAATGATCGTGTGATTGTGAATGGCAAAGACTACGTTCAGACATTTTCTTTGAACCAAATTTGGGGCTATGAATGCTGCTACTGACTCATATTTTTAGGATTGGCTGAACTCACCAGCTATAGCAAGGCTCTTGGCTGTGATCTTGGGTAGATTTCCGCAATCAATATGTGGGTTCATTTGTACACATTGTTTGACCTATCCCCAGTGATGAAGTTTGATGTTGACTGTGAGTTCTTGCAGCTTGCCCGGAACAACCCCAGAGAACCAGAACGGATGCACCATAATTATAGTTGAATCAGATAAACATTGTATTATTTTTGTGTTGCGGTGACATCTCCACTGTTGGCCAGGTGCAATCTCCTGTTTGTTTTTAATATCAATATTATGGTTTACGACTGGTTATAACCCCACCATTGCTGATCATTGCTGCCTGTTCACTCACAATGTCCTGCGCTGAAATGCACTCGATGGTTTTTGGGACCCACTCCTTCCTAGAATTGTGGTACCCTCAAGTCATCCAAATGTCACAAGTTTATAAAACCATGCAAGAGCAATGATGTTAGTTTTGTTCTTATGTCACTTGGAGGATCATCCCACTTAGTCACTAGTTGATAATCGTATTTTTTCGGGTCATCCCACTTATAACTGGGGAAACTAGTCCCACAAACATTAACCAAATATGATTTGTGGGGTAGCTGCACCATTTTATATGGTTTCAAGAGTTAAGTCCATACAAGATGAGGCCCCGTGGATAGCTAAGTTGTCTTATAACTTGGTGAAATAAGTAGGGTTTATGGAGAATATCGCTGCAATAACTATAGAGTTCATGGGGTTTACACACCAACTTATAACTGTGCCTCACCCTGTAGATATAGGACCCCGCTCAAAAACATGGTTTCAGAGTACCTTGACCATCTTTGACCTGAGGTGCTGGGCCCTGCGGGAGGCTGCAGTAGAGACTATTCCGCGGCAGGCGCCAAGCCCTTAGTGTGGCTTGGAGCCAAAGGATTCCAAGGGAGCCATGGCGGTTGAACTTTGGTGATCCATCGAACTATGGTAATACTGTGGGTAAAACGATGCCATACACAACCCATGACTCGGAATGGCAAACATACCTGTAAAAATGGTGATGACTGGGGGATGGTTTATTGATTATTGTTTTACCATGTTTTACCCACATACCTAAAGCATAAACTAACCCTAGACAAGCTATACACTGTTTATATTTTGGTGCGCGTGGGATGAGGACATAGAAGAAGGATTTAGATATCACTTCGTCCTCACCGACAGGCACCTGTTCGATGATGTCACGTATGCAGTTCAGGCCAACCAGTACCAAGTTCTTGGTGCTCCAGGTGGACAAGCTGCCATCCTCCAATTCCATAGCACCGTTGAGATCCATTTACTGGCTCCTACGGAGACGATCGACGTCCTAGGACGCATTCACGGCGCCCAGCGTCGCCTGCAGCAAGAGGTTTTCAATCTCCGCGAGGAACTTCGCTCCACGCGACAGCTTTTGGGATCTACCATTGAAGTGCTTGGTGCTCATTTTCCAGAGTTAGCCCACGATTTGGGTCTGACGAATCGACCTGAAGATTTGCTTGGCGCTACCGCCCCACCATGACGCACCAGGATCAGATTTTTCCATACCAGCCGTGCAGCCAGCCGCTTTTTGAAAATGGGCTGATTTTTCTCTGGGGTTTTTCGCATCATCCCATTAGTGATAGAGTCACACACAGGACACAAGACACATGTGGCATAGAATCTTATAAACCACCTTTGCTCAGTGGGGAGCACCACCTTGTCTCTATAGCGACTTTGCTGGCCAAACATCAAACATGGGGATTTTAAGCATCAAACATATGTTGGCCGACAACCTCACCGGAAATGACGGCTGAAAAAAAAGTGGTGATGTGTGGGAGTGTAGCCCGAATCTCTATCTCTCCTCTATCTATCTCTATCTATCTATCTGTCTGTCTGTCTATCTATCAATCACTCAATCAATCAATCTATCTATCTATCTCTATCTATCTATCTATCTATCTATCTATCTCTATATCTTTTTATCTCTATCTATCTATCTATCTCCATCTGTCTCTATCTATCTCATTCTATCTCTTTCTATCTCTATCTATCTCCATCTGTCTCTATCTATCTCATTCTATCTCTTTCTATCTCTATCTATCTCTATCTATATCTATCTATCTCGATCTCTCTTTCTCTATCCTATCTATCTCTTTCTATCTGTCTCTATCTATTTGTTTCAATCTATCTATCTACCTCTAGCTTTCTATCTCTATCTATCTATCTACCTCTAGCTTTCTATCTCTATCTATCTATCTATCTATTTATCTATCTATCTATCTATCTATCTATTTATCAATCTATCTATCTATCTATCTATCTATGTATCTATCTATCGATCTATCTATCGATCTATCGATCTATCGATCTATCGATCTATCGATCTATTTATCTATCTATCTATCTATCTATCTATCTATGTATCTATCTATCTATCTAACTATCTATCTATCTATCTATCTCTATCTATCTATCTACCTATCTATCTCGCTCTCTCTATCTCTATCTATCTATCTATCTATCTGTCTATCTATCTATCTCTCTCTCTCTCTCTCTCCCTATGTATCCATCCACCCATCTATCCATCCATCCATCTATCCATCCATCCATCCATCTATCTATAGACTACACTCCCATAAGGTATTCACAAATAGATAGACCTTGCCAGAGTTTTTGTTGATGTTTGACAAGGGCAGCACTTTCCCACTTCTTTACTTATATTATATATAATAATAATAGATATGAAGGGCATACTTCATACTTGCTGACCATTTAGCTAATGACAGATAAAAATTCAAGCGTTTGGATGATAATCCCACAGAACTTTTGTTTGCTGTTGTAGTCCCACCTTCAAAGAATTTGTTCAGAGTTCCTAACATGTTCGAATATTTCAATATACGTGTATATATATATACACAGAAATTGTGGTTCAGAGTTCCTAAGATCGTCCAATTTTTTTAAAAAAATATATTGTTACATCTATATACATATATACATACACCAAGCGTGTATGAATACATCAATATAATATTGTGGTTGATGGTTTCAAATAGCATACGTCGCCTTAGGATATTCTGATTCACCAACAGCCCAAGGATGAAGGGCGTTCCGGGGCAGGTCCTAGGCGCGACGGCTGTGCGTTGGGGTGAAGCTACAAATTTCGAGAACTTTTAGCCATAACCAAAGGAGGGGTTGCCAACCCCAGAAAAAAGAAATGTCAACCCGTCAACCCCAGAAAATACAGGTCATTTTGGTTCCAGGTCGGATACGAAGCAGCCTGAAGTAGTGACAGCACGCTGCTAATCCAATCCAGCATGCTACTGTAGCCCGAGCCAGATGACCAAAGAAGCATGAACAAACCATCCCATTTTATCTGGTTGGTGGTTTGGAACATTTTTTGTTTTTCCATATATATATATACATACATATACATATATATATATATTTATATGTGGGTATAATAATCCCAACTGACTAATATTTTTCAGAGGTTGAAACCACCAACCAACCATTTTACTTTGGCCGTTTCAAACATTTGTTGAAACTTCAAGCTAATAAATCGGTGACCACAATTGATATACACATATTCTTCATCGATGGGTGGGGCAACCACTAAGCAATTACGGTGCAGTCGGTTTTGTCCAAAAATTGACAGAATACCACAAGATACGTATTTAGTTCGATGATTTTCCCATTCAGCCTCAATTTATAGAAGATGTTCCCATTTAACCAACCACAATTCCATTTAAAACAAGATCTCCCCATGTTAAAAACGCATTTTCCCATCGAAAACACCAATTTTTTGGGTGATTTCCCACGCCATCGATGAAACCAGGTCGGGATATCCCATTCGCACGTGAGGTCGGGATGGCACCATCACCACCGACCTGACCGTGGGCACTCCAGGGCAAGAAATTACCGTCCAGCTAGACACGGGATCGCAAAAGTGCCGTGGGCTGCAACGCAGAGATCTCTGAAATCTTGAGATGAAAATCTCGCGCCAGCCTGAAACCCTTAAAAACCTACTATATAAATGTATAGTAAATTGAATCCTGTCTATCTACATAGAATATAGTTTTACACACTATATTCTACAATCACACAAAATTGTGGATATAAATAAAGGTTCTATTCATAACTGAGGGTGTAGTCAGTCCCTTTAAGATATTAAATCATAGGGGTTCAACAATTTTTGTTTGTGGTTTACCAAGGGTTTTTAGATGACCGTTACCGTGAGTAAACAGGATTGAAACCTTAACCATGGTGTGGATTCAAGGGGAACTTGGAAAAGATTGGACAAGTTTGGTGAAAAGTTGGAGCTGTAATGTCGTTGATATAACTATGATACGACAAGGCTGTCGGAGTAGAGTGTCTAGGTTGATGATAAAAGGTTGATGATCAATCCGATCTTGCTCGTTCTATCTACTACATGTTTGATTATTGGTTCGTTGGATCCAATCCCAAATGCGTGTGTTTTTCGAGCCCGAACATTTCTTGACTGGAAATAGCACAGATTTGGAATGTTGGTTGTTCATTACATTCTTGACCTGAAAAATAAAATCACCCTTCTGGATATTTCAGGTCGGCACTGTTCTATATATTTGAACCATGAACTGGCCCACCCCCAACAATGTCACGATGGCGTTAAACGACTGTGATGGTATCCCGGTTGCTTATCGCATCTTGTCACTGATCGACCAGTTGCCAGTTAAATCTCAAGATTATAGACTACTTGTTTATCTTGTTTTGAAAACAAGCAACATATAGTATATAGTCTATAATTATCAATCATCAATGACGTGGTTGCTTATATCATCGCTTAAATATCACCGTTTCTCCGGTTCCGCGAGGTTCATGGGCATCCACCAGACCTGTCGTAACCTGGGCAATTGCTTCCTGGTCCAGCCGGCAGCTGGGCGGAACCAGGGGGACCTGGGCAGGGTAACGCAGCTGGGCAAAAAAGGCAGCTGGGACAAAGAAAAGGATCTTTGAATCAGAAATCAGACATCATTGTTAGGTGTTGGGTCATACTAAGATTGGTTTTATATATATATATATCTATTTATATATCCTCCGGCAAACATGGCAACGGAAAGTCACCCATATATCATTTATAGATGTTTTTTCCATTAAAAACATCCGTGTATAGGGGATTTCCCAGCGAAGCATGTTTGATTACCAGATGGTTTACCAGCGAAAATCTGAATTCGTCCAATGTGGGAACCTCCAGCATAGCTTTGTACGGCAAAGGCGACTTGGAGGGTTTGGGCACTGTTCATTTCCACAAAGGTCAATCAATCGCTGTTTGGTGTTTTCAAGTAATACTAGGACCTATATTAATTTCAAATTATATTAATTTTGATGTATCATGATGTATCCAATAGCCACGGGGGTACCCCTAAATCAACATATGTTTTTTGACCACTGGAAGATATCCAAATTGTGCAACAGAAAAACCTAGGATGGGTATCCAACAATCAAATCATGCGGGGAAACAATTGGTACTAGGTGCCCTTAAGCAACTCCAAGTGATGAACCCATAGTTGCCATAGTACAGCTTAGAACTTAGAGGGATATGAAGGCTATCATCCGAAAAATGGTTCGTTCTTCCAGCGCAGGAATGAGTACAGTTGGGACGCCATGAGTTTTCTTATGTTTTCTTGTTATTTTTTGGTGGCTGAATCAATGAACTGGTCCACTGGTCCGGTCATTAATTGGACATCCATGTTTACCCCGGTACATTACATGTGATACCCGCAGTTGGAGGACTTGGGAGACACTTCCGACGAACAATTGCAGCGATAATTTTTCAGAAAAAGACATATCCTCTGGTAAACTGTCACATCACTATTGAAAATCACCATTGTTAATAGGTAAATCACTCTTTTAATGGTCAATTTTCCATAGCTACGTTCGATTACCAGAGGGTAATGGTTGGTTTTTGCAAAACTATGGTGCTGTGTTGTTTCCCTGTAATCAACAGAATTGTGCGATCCTGTTTTGCTGGGTTTGCCAGCGGCCATTCGAAACCCGTGGGATGTGTGTTTGCTTAGGTTTACGCAAGGTAAGTATCCATCACAAACCTTGAGTAGTGTTACAGTTGAAGAAGGTTTTCACCTGTTCAAACTGTTCAAACCTTTGTCGTCCTTCCGACTGGCGTTTTCCAATCCGTTTGCCGTAGAGATGGACGCTCGTTTCGAGCGTGCCAGGCCTGCTGCAGAAGGACAGGTTCCGCAAGGGGTGGCAGATGTGGACGCGGAGTCCAAAGTGGAGCTGAAAGGGGATCCCTTTGAGATTCGTCTCATCAGCCTTATGGGGGATGAAAAACTGGTCTCCGTGGAGCCCTCCAGCAACATTGCTGAGTTGCAGAAGTTGGCAGCTGAAGCTTTGAACTGGGAGAGGCCTTGGTGTATCAAATTCGCCCAAGGCGGCAGTGCCATTAACACTTCCTCCCCAGAAACGACCCTGCAGGAGCTGGGTCTCCTGGAGGACTGTGAGCTGATGGTCCTGAGAAGGGAGCCTTGGTGCCGGCAGAAGTTGGGTTGTAGCCGCTACAACATCATGTATGCGTGCCACGTCCGGGAACTGCGTGAGGTGGGCCCGGCGGAGCTGGAATTGGACTTCGCCGCACACGGCGACAATTCGCTGGGACCCTTGCAGAAGGCGGAAGGAAGCCTGCTGGTTTGGGAATTGGAGGCCGGGGTGACGGATGATTCTCCGGCGACCAGTCCTTCAGGGCCGTGTCGACCCCACATGTCAGCAACTGCTGGAACGGTGAACTTCACCGTGGAGACCGATCGACGGAAGGAAGGTACCATGACCTTTTCCAATGTCCCAACCTCTGGACGAGTGAGTTTCATCTTTGGGGAGGATGGCTACTCCCACCTGATCATGACCCTCGGCCCTGAGGAAGATAGTGAGCGCAAAGCTTGATGTACAGATTCTTGATTTCGGCACTCAGAAGACTTAGGACGTATCAACTGCAGAAAAGAAGGTTTTCACCTTTTTAGGATGCTCTTGTTGCTGTCAGAAACCACAAGACTTGTCAGACTGCCCCAAAGAGATGATTTGGACAAGTTTGGTAGTTAATATGTCGATGAGCCATTCAGGTACCCTAAATGAAGGCAATACCTCTGTCATTATGAAGCCCCTAATCAGCCCTAATAGGGATATGCAATATGCCTCACATTGCCTCACATCATCTGGTTGGTGGTTTCAAACATGTTTTATTTTCCATAATATATGGGATAGTCCTTCCCATTGACGAACTCCATCATTTTTCAAGATGGTTATTGCACCACCAACCAGTCATATTGGGGAAGCAATTTGCAGTTCCACTGGTGAATTTGGTCCCTGGAGAGTTGGAGAGTTGGAGACATCCAGCTGCCAGGTCGATGGCAAAAATACTGAAGCTCGGCTGAGGGTCATCCTTGGTCGGGAGTGGTCGGGGACTGGAAGTTTTCTGGTTGCTTTCAAGGCCATTCTCATGCCGAGTCCAGGCATTGTTAAATTTGCCACCAATTTATGTTGAAGATTTTGAGGGTATCAGGACTGAATCAGGATTGTTAACCAAAACATGATAGATTCATTTTCCAGTGATGAAATAAGATGGATTTTGGTGCATTGTGGAGGGACAGGGTCATAGTGTGGGGCTTTGTTGCATCCTACATCAACATGGATATCAGTACCTGTACCGTGAACAAGCTCCATAAGCACGGTTTCCTGCAGAATAATGAAGAACGCAAGGGAGTACATGGGGGCTTCTAAAGATGGTGGTATATACCCAAAAATCATTGGTTTCAATACTAAGATGGTCATTCATGACTTGGATGGTTTTGGGTACCCACATGACATAGGAAGCCACCAAATCATTTCTGGCTTAGATCCATAGCTTTCATAAACCCAACAGTTGACCTGCATATATCAAGTTCAGGATTCTTAAATTTGTCAAGGACTGGCTGATTACCTTGAAGACCTTCTTTGCATTTGATTCGTTTGATGATTTTGATGTTTCATCAGCATGTTCCCCATCATTTTCCATCATGTTCTCCATTTTGTCCATCATTATCCATCATGTTCCATCATTTGTTCCATCATTTTCCCTATCATTTGTTCATCATTTTGATGCGCCCAGTATGTTTCCCCACGATTTTCGACTTGGACCCATGAGGCGCTGCTGCCCGGAAGGGATTTCGCCACGGCCACATGCCAAGCGCAGATGCGGGACGTCTCCCGAGCGCTGGCGCAAAAGTGCCGCGGTGATCATGTGCGTCATGAGAATTGGAGGATTAATTGAGGGGATTGAAAGGTTTTTATATATGATACAGCCCGAGCGATGGTTAAGAATCCGAAAGCTTGAGGCCCAGGGTCCCTCAAATTCCTATTTTAAATGTAGGCAAATTTACACCACAACAGGCCGAGGGTCCCTCAAATTCTTAGGGCATTCTTAGTTATGTATTGCATGCATCTGCACAATTTGTAAGCGAGCTTACACGAGGTAACGAGGTGGAGTTGGCAGATTTGACAAAGGCATGCGAAAAACATATTTTTTTAGAGCCTGAACAATTGTTTTCTGCAAAGCCCGATTTCATCCCATAAGACCATAAGGGGTCACGCCACAACAAAAAATGAACCGCAAAGGGGAACTGCAAACCTCACGTATAAGCAGTAATTTAAGAATTTGGCAATCCTATTCCAGGGCCCCTCAAATTCTTAAAGTACTATGTGTTTGGTATGCCTGAAAATATGTAGCCCGCCTTGGATTCGAGCCCCTCAAATTCTTATACAGTGAATTCTTGTACAATACTGAAGCTGTAATGTCAACCCCGGATTATTAATTAGGGGGGTACTCCTCCAATAGTCATAATCTGATACTTAAATGGTACCACACCAATTAAACAGCCTAGGGGTTTATTAATTCGGGGGTGACATGAAATTATGAATAACATAAATTGAGATTGTATTGCCTCCAATATATATATATATTTATATGTATATATATATAAGATTATATAAGGGGATATCATATCTAGTGACACAGTTTAGAAAATCCACTTATAAGGGGGTTTTGTTACATTTAGATATATGTAATCTATATGTGTAACTGTCTTATCCTTGTGTATCATGGTTTTATCTTGGTTTATCTATATGTTGCCAAAAATGAGACGCTCGGATTGAAGCAACCAGACATGTTCACTTTTAACAATGCTCAGATTGGGCTCCAAGTTCTTCTTTTAGAATCAGGTGTGCAGGATGGTGCCCCCCAGTTATAATTTGGTTTATAAACACCATTAACTATACTTATATCTACCATAAACCACAGTTATGGGAGTTATAAACCAACTTAGCTAACTATGGGGCACCACCTTGTGGGACGCTGGATGGTAAAAGCGATGAATTCCAGGATGCATTCCGTACGAAAACCAGCCAATACGATCCCAGTATTTTGAGGTATTGTTGACCTCGCTGGCGAACCTCGCCGCAAATAAGATTTTGGCAATGTAGCATAGCCATGGAAGATAGCCCATAGATGATTTACCTATGTAGCCGAGGATTCTGTTCCATTGATAAATTACCAAACGGTATTTTTGGTACTGGTATGATCTACATTAGGGTCATCCCTGAATGTTAAATATCTTTAGATCAGTTTCTAGGGAATGTATTTCATGACTTGATGTCTCCATGATATTCCCCTGATATCTGGGTCTGGAAATCGGATATCCTATTTTCAGACACCCCACTTGTTTTCAATTTATTTGATTTCTCTGTGCTTGACACATATTTATATATATATATATTTATTTGTGCATGACATTATGTATATCATTTATATGTATCTTCACTAATATACATGCATGCATGCCTGCATGCATACATACATATACATACATACGTACATACGTACGTACATACATACATACATACGTACGTACATACATTACATTACAGATTTACATTTACATTTACATCTACATTTACATCTACATTTACATTCATATTTACATTTACATTCACATTTACATTACATTACATACATGTTACATGCATACATCTTCGATTTATTTATATCCATGTTGCTGTGTTGCCTCGAAAAATCGCCCCGTGAGGTCCTGCCAGAAAGTTCATGGCAAAACCCTGTGCGACGCTTGGGGCAATCTTAATGAGAAGTTGTCGGGGATATTTTTACATGGCCTTGGGAAAACATAGGAAAACGCAGGAAAACCCCCATAAATAGCGGGATATATGTGTGTATATATATATATAATATAATTATATATATATATATCTGGTTGGTGGTTTGGAACATGAATTTTAGTTTTCCATATATTGGGAATGTCATCATCCCATTTGACTTTCATATTTTTCAGAGGGGTTGAAACCACCAACCAGCTGTTAATCTGTTATAGATGGGTTATAAATGATAAATGCGTTCTATGGAAGTTGGCCCGAAACACCACTTCTTTCAGTGATTGCGTATATAAATTGTCATTTCTATGGGCTTATCATGAACCATGGGGTCATGGTCACGGTTGTTAGATGTAGATGGTCAGTGCATATCACACTGTGCCACGTGGTTGCATTGGTTTGATCCTATCAATGGGGTTACAGGGGTTGGTGACACCCCAGTTCAGGGGTCAACATCCTGCATTTTTTTTCGAATGAACTTAGAATCCACCTGACCTTGACTCTTTCTGTTTCCTGCGCGCTCGTTGCTGGGGAGACCATTGGCAACATGCTGATTCCCATGTCCGACGTTTCTGTGGGTCGGAAGTACTCCCCAAGTCGACCGATTTGGGCTGAGATTTTAATGACGAGAATGACGTCCATATTTGGTACAATGTGAGGCCCCCCAGTTATGTTTGTTGTTTTATAAGCCCCAGTAACTATAGTTATAAGTACCATAAACTATAGTTATTGGAATTATAAACCAACTTCGCTATCTTGGGGGCCTCACATTGTAGGCCTGCAGAACACTTGGCCGTACTTGACACCAGCCAATACTCACCAATAGCTGGGGTGTCTAAAACCCCTAAATGTCGTACTTTACCAGTTACCATCATCTCATTTGCGAAATCCTGGGTTAACTGGAAAGGTGATGTACAACTGATTGAAAAACGGTGCAAAAGCAATTCTCACGGCCCATCCCCCAGCAATGATACTTAAATGTTGGTGGAACTATTTTTCTATATATGTATAGTATTACATATATATATATATTATGTAATCGGTTTGGATTTATAACAGTTATGGTCAGTCACTTATGATAGTATTTCATGGCCTTCACTCAGTTGATCTATGCAACATCTCCATCAAGTTTACAGCGGACATGTTTCGGCCTTTTCCTAGGAGTGCAGCAGTCAAGAGGACTGCCTGTCACTGATCATGCAAGCGACATCGCAGAATGTTGTGCCACACAAGATTTGCGACTGGGACTCAAAATGGGGGACTCGCAATACGCAACCCACGCGAGTCCGGTGAATGTTTTGCGAATGTTGGCAGGTGTCATCTTACTATGTTTGCTGAATCAGATGATGGAATAATGTACCATGCTATTCAACTGGCACTTGAAGATTTTGTTGTGCCTTTTGGCCAATCTTTCCGCATCGATAAAAAACAACGGGGAATTGATATGGGCAGAGGCTGAATTGTTTTTCAGCCCGTGTTTTTCAGCCGAGCTCCTATGAAGCCATGGGAAGAGCTTTCCGAAAACCAATCCTGGGCTTGTCCTCTTTAGGCCTGCTCCTCACCAGGCCTAAACATAGCAGTCCCTTTCCCAAAAGGTCTTCAAGAACCCATAGCTTGGGATTCAGAACGATGATGAACGATGTTTGGACATGTCTGGCTCTATTCGGGAATTCCCCTGGATTGACAGGAGAAAACTGTCCTGATGTGTTTCCTTCTTGCGTCAATAATTTGTGGGAGTTTGAGCCATGAACAAGACTGGATTTCAAAAGTGTTCCAGTCGCTTAAACAGGTGTTCACATCATTATTGAAATAGCAAAGCGGTGGATATCTAGTGAGTTACGTGTTTTGTGAAACAAACCTACGTGACGCACTATCAAACAGGCATTGAATTCAGACGCTGAATTGGTTTAGGGTTTGGGCTTTTTCCTGTAAATCCCCACTGGATTTGGGCTTCATCAACGTATTGATGTTGATATTATTTATCCCCCAGATACACTCCCAAAATTCATAGCACCTGGGCATGCGTCATGTGGCAAACAGCCAAACCCCATGCTTCTGCAAATCACGTTCCATTAAAATGCCATTCTTTCTGCCAATCCCTCATGTCAGATCCACATAATCTGAAAGTTGCTGATACATTCACACCTTGTTCCACGGTTACCCTCCAGTAATTTAACATAGCTATGGAAGCCATGGTCCATTTACAGTGGATTTACCTATGAAAATGCTGATTTGTCGATAGCTTTTTATGTTTACCGGCAGGTATCTCCCATTCTAATCCCATCACCATGAAATCCAATTAAATCGTCATTAAATTCCCATTAAACCATCATTAAATCACCATTAAATCATCATGAAATCCCATTAAATCGTCATTAAATCACCATTAAATCATCATTAAATCACCATTAAATCATCATGAAATCCCATTAAATCGCCATTAAATCACCATTAAATCATCATTAAATCACCATTCAAGGAGAAATCCCATTAAATCGTCATTAAATCACCGTTAAATCATCATTAAATCACCATTAAATCATCATGAAATCCCATTAAATCGTCATTAAATCACCATTAAATCATCATTAAATCACCATTAAATCATCATGAAATCCCATTAAATCGTCATTAAATCACCATTAAATCATCATTCACTCACCATTCAAGGAGAAATCCCATTAAATCGTCATTAAATCACCATTAAATCATCATGAAATCACCATTAAATCATCATGAAATCCCATTAAATCGTCATTAAATCACCATTAAATCATCATTAAATCACCATTAAATCATCATGAAATCCCATCAAATCCTCATTAAATCTTAGTAAATCCTCATTAAATCTCAGTAAATCATCCTGAATTCCCATTAAATCATCATTAAATCCCAGTAAATCCCTATACCCCATAGGATTTCCCATGGTTATCTCCCAACCTTCGGGCCGGCCACCGGATTTTGTTTTTGTTCGAGGCGCCATTGGCCGGAAGATTTGCGGGGACCGGGTGGACTTTGAACCGGAGCACTCCAGCACCTTCCAGACACTCGATGTTCGGTGAGAAAACCCATGGGAATCATGAAAAAATCATGGGAAAACACTCGGTTTTCGTTTATGCTCCGGGAAAGCAAGGGAAAATCATGGGAATATCTAGCTATATAGACTAGTAACCATGGGAAAATCTAGTTATATATAACATTGCTGTTGGGTTTTATAGATAGGAATTTATATACCCATATTATAGCTTTAAAAACGGGAAGGACCATGAAAGGCATGGGTATACACTAGGAATATCATGGGAAATGATGGGACTACAATAGGAATATGATGGGAATTATATTTATATATGGAATAGAATAGGAGTACCCATGTAAGCTATTGGGGAATTCAATAAATTCAACACAACAACAAAGTATTAAGCTATACAATTGTAATATTGAATACTAATAATAATTACAATAGCGTTGAGTAATACTATATAGTTTGCAATTACTAGTAGTTGGAATACAACACGAATATGATAGGCATATTTGTGGAATATACTGGGTCAGCGGGTTGCATGGTACTTTAGTACTTGAATCTCATGCTATACATGGGACTATATATAATTGAGTATGTATAATACATCATGCATGTAATATATTACATATATCACACGTCTTAACCAGCTACAAAGCTATGTTTATCTACCCAAAATTCACTCCCATCAACCCCAAGAACTTGTTGGGTCGGGGCTTTATGTGGACCTCACCATTGGGTACACTTTAAAATGTCAGGGATCAGACCTGCAACGTTCCCAAGGCCCTCGCATTTTCCGAGCTATCCATTTCTGAAGCCTCCTGGGAAGCAACGCATTACGGCGCAATGTCATTTGAGCCTTGGCGCCGATGCCTCGATGTATGTTGGATGGAAGAAATCCTGCACCACCTTGGTGTTAACTTTTGTAAATAAGGTGGCGAGTTGTATTTAAGGTCTGTCCCCGGAAATAAGGTGCATGTATGCAAAATGCATCAAATCATGCGGGGATCCTTGGCTGAAAAATGGTCGCGCAACTAATTTCGAGACACGGCCCTGATTTCGTGTTATTTTTGTTCATTTCTTTACTGTTTTTTTCAATGAAATTTTGCTTTATTTTTTTTGCAAGCAGAAACGCCGCCGGCTGCTCAAAAAAATACTTTCTATGAATCTTTAAAAAAGGCCCGCCGTAGGCGCCACTTTTGAGTGTTTGGATCGTCGCCAAAAAAATGATTCCATCATTCTGAAGATTATGTAAAAATAGACGCTACACATTTATATAAATCAAAACAAAATGTTTTTTTTTCATTTTGTTTCCTTATTTCCGTGGTAATTCCTTAAATTCAAGGGCTGGCCTTGAATTTAACGAATTCCGACCTTTTTCCACGATTATTGTTCAAAAAAAAAGGCTGAAATTCAACTGTTAAAAAAAACATTGTTTTTTCCACGATGATTTTTCTAAAAAATATATATTTTTTTAGTAATCGTGGAAAACAGTCGAATTTCCTTAAGTTCAAGGCCAGCCCTTGAATTTAAGGAATTTCCGCGGAAATAAGGACAAATTAAAAAGAATACTGATAAAATTAAAATCACATAAAATAACACAATGAAAAAATAAAGAAAATTATATATATATAATATACAAATAATAATAAAAACAAAAATGGAAAATGAAGTGAAAATAGAAAGATAAAGATATAAATTTGTATTAATAATCATTGTTTTCAAGAAATTAAAAAAATAGTGTCTTTTTGGAAAAAGGGTAATATATAAAGAATGATAATGAAAACATTGAAACACGTGAATAAACTAAATATCCTTAAAAATCCAATGCATATTCGTAGCGTCTAGTTTTTAGATTGCTTTCAAATTGGTGGAAGCAACGTTCTTTAAAAGATTCGTAGAACATATTTTTTCGTTGGCAGGCGGCAAGGCTTCTGTCTGCAAAAAAACAAAATAATTTTAAACACCACACATGTAAAAACGAAAGACCAAGAAAAATAAGCATGAACATGGTTAAACAAAATGTTCAAACAAAAGCGAACAGACTTGAAAAATCAAAGAAGGTATTTAGATATATGTAGATTATTTTCATTTTTATGCCCAACACCAACAGCTGATGCTGTGGAACAAGTCCAATGAGCTGTTGTAAGATGTTGTCGATGTTGTAAGTATTTTTTTTATTTCTTTAGGTGCCTGCATTCGTTTCTTTATGGCGCCTGTTATTTTCTGCGCATACATTATTTTGACCTACGCTGTGAACATCTACTAGTTTGTCACCCAAACTCTTCACAAAATGAGTCATGTGGATTGCTGCAGTTGCCTGATTGAAAACAATTTGCTCAAAACCCTTTCAAACTGGATTTCAATCCGAAACAATTGGTTTGCAGATATCCTAAACCTTACTTCCGTGTAATTCCCTTATTTCCTTGAATTATGAAAGTTTACACACCTTGGATGGTTGAAACACTATAAATAGTGAGATAAACTACCTATCAACTGGTGCAGGATTTCTTCCGTCCACCGTATGTCCTAGATGATAGCTTTGTTTTGAAGAAATACTCAGCAGACACTTTCATGCAAAGGCTGCAACATTCCTTGAAAACCGTGCGTTCTTTTTCAATAGGTAGCATTCCTTTAAGACAAAAACCTTCTTAAAAAAGGAATGCTACCTATGGACACTTGGTTTTTGTTTGATATGTTCAAGGTTTCAGAGCACCAATAGGCAACATGTACTGTAACTTACAGTGTTTATTTCCACATCGCATGAAACAAACAACATCCGTATGAGCACCTGTTCTGTATTTTAAGAAACGGCCATTTAATGAGATCATAATGTTCCCAATTTGATAGTAGCAATCAATTGGTGGTTCTTACCCCATTTCTGAAAAGTGTTCCATGTCGTATGTTGGGTTCTGGACAATATCCCAATGTTTAACCCATCCCAACATGATGGTTCTGGTAAGCCCAGTTGTTTTATTGTTTATGTATAGTTAATGTATATATATATATATGTATATATATATATTTATGTATATATATATAACCAACGCTACTAGGATATAACACACATGGTTTTCTCATGCCACCGGTATATGTATACATGGCAAGCGTAGGATGGATAATCAAATGCTTGAACCCCCAATGGTATATAAATGGTTCAGTTATAGACATATTATGCATATAATGATTGCAAAGTCTTTTTGACCCATCAACAATTCATGTTTTTTTTCTATCAACGATTTTGGACAATGTGGTACACAAATAAACTGACCATTTGGAGATCTCTAGAGGCAACATTCCCATATTCAGAAAATCTTCGCATACCATGTTTTCATCGTATTCCAGACCTGGGTTTTGGTATGTTACTTTGATAGGCATTTCAGCTCAATCTGGAGGGAACAGTTGGGCCATGGCGAATCCACTGAATGCCCCCCACAGCTTTCTATCCCCTATGTCGTTCCAAAGCAGCTGTGGACGTTGGATGAAGTGAAGGCTGCTTTGATAAGGGAGTTTCCTCATTTGTCTACCGAAGAAGGACAGGGTTGTCAAAGGTAACGTTTTTAAAGGTTGGCTGAATAAAAATTAGCCAGTTTCTTCCCCGGGGCCTCACCCGGTGAACTCGGAAAAGCAGAACCCACTAGCTGGTGTGCCCCTGGAAGTTTGGGCTGGCTTTGGGATTGGAATTTTGGTTCTGGCCCCGAAATTTCCCTCTGTGGTCTCTATACCAGCCACGCATACTCGGAATTCTTCGCATTCCATATAATTTCTTCGCACTCCACAGCTAGGGACGTACACATACTGTAAAATTCACGCACTCTGCAAGATCTTCGCACTCCATAAAATCGTCGTACTCCGTGTTTTTTTATTTTTTCCGTTTTTTTTTTCGTTTTTTTTGTTCGTTTTTTTTTGGCTAAAATCGCCTGGAATCACGTTTTGTGGAATATGGGGAAGTTGGAGTTTTCGCGTGAGACGTCTGTAGTTTCACATACTATCGCATTCCATGCCATTTTGGCCAAAAAAAAGAAAAAAACACCTCAGCAGGGTGAATTGTGATAATTTTCTGGTATATGATGGAAAAAACTGGCGTTGGATCCATGGGGAAGGTCGAAGGGGGCCACGCATACTGTTTTATTTTCGCATTCCAGAAAATTACCGCACTCCAGGGGTGGCATCGTACTCTATCGGTGGAATTATTTTGCACGGAAGAAAACAGGATCGTCGATGATTTGTGTTCCCAGATCCTGTTGTGCAGAGCTCTTTGCGGGGCCACAAAGATGTCAAGAAAAATGGGGATGGCGCTGCTGGTGAAAGGCCAGCCAAGCGTGCCAGAACATAAGCTGAAAGCTTATGAATTGGGTTTTGAGATCCTGAAAAGTGTAGATGACAAATTCCCATAAGAACGTTATTAACCCATTTTTGGAAAGCTCAACACTATTGATTACTTGGGACCCTCTTTGAGTTAGGTGACTTATAAGTGCAGGGTAAGTTTTTTGTACCTAGGTTAAGTCAGGGCTAAGTGGTAAGATAACTGGCTAAGTGGTAGCTAAGTGGTATCATTTTTTTGATGATTTAGACGTGATTTAGGGATAGTTATAAGTGAAAGCTAAGTTATCATGTATGATTCGAAAAAAGTTAGCGCTAACTTAGGTACGACTTAGCTTTTTGAAAAAAAAAACATATTTTTGTAAGGGAAATGAAATTTGTAAAAAAAAATGGCTGTTTTCGCAGGTTTTGGCTTGTGTGAGTTGTGTGGGCCATGGCTGCTTCGTTGAAGCAGATTGAAGCGGCACAGCGGTTCCTACGTGGAATCGTGTCGCTGGGAAGTTTCTCAGAAATACGTGAGAAACAATGGCGTGGAGTGTGTCATGCGTTGGGGAAGCTTTCCACGCTGACGGCTGCCCAAGCGGCAGAGTGGCTGGCGGCCCTTGACAATGAGCTTTGGACAGCAGCTCAAGTGGCGGAGTTCCAAGAGGCTGTGGCCGCAAAGACAAAGGCGCTAGAGGAGGATTCCATTCGTGTTATCTTGCAGGACTTCCTCATGTTGCCATACTACTTGACAGAGGAGTTGGCCACCATGGTTTTCGTCGATGAAGAAGTGGATCGGGATGTCGTTCTGCAGAAGTTGTGTTCTCATGCGGCAAGGTTGACGCTGAAAAATGCGAGCGAAGCTTCCAAGGCTATGCTTTTGGTCTTGGCGAATTGGCGCTTGGTAGAAAAGATGTCACCACAGAACCAGTATCAGTTCTACGTGAGCAAAAAACCTCTGGTGACCAAGTTTTTGGCAGCAGCGGCGTTTGGTGGCCAAGGGCTTCCGGAGCTACCCATGTCGTGGCAAGACTTGCCAAAAGATGTGCGGCAAAAGCTGTTTCCTACGGGAAAGCCAGCTGTGTTAACTGAGCCATCAGCTGCTGCGATTGTGCAGTTTGTGAGAACGTATCCGTTGCGAAAGGATAACAAGATGCTGCTGCCACAAGCAGCCGCTCAGAGCGCGCAAGCCGCGCATTCAACCGACGTGGTTTCAGTGGATGCTGTGGTGAAAGTGGTCGAGGCATGTTCGCGCTTGCGTCCTGAAACTCTACGAGAGACGGTGGATGCATCGACGCGATCTACGGGATCTGCGTGTGAAATGAAAAGGCCCATGTTGGCTTTGGAAGATGGCACGGTGGATGGATCCAGTGACCCACGAGGTCAAGCAGCTTCCCACGTGGAGACGGTAGAGAAGCAACCGTTGACGGTAGCGCAGCAACTGGCTGCCTTGAAGACTAGGTTGCCAGAGGAAAAGAACCCGACGGAGAAGGCAACGCCTAGTGGGCGCAAGGGGGCGAAGGCCATTGCGAAGAGTTCAGCGGCCTCGCTGGTGGCAAAGAGGCCGGCTACGTGCCGGCGGGGGCTGAAGCGACCGGCGGCTGCCGCGCCACTGGGTCGCGAGGCTAAGCGCCAACAGCTCCTACGGAAAATCCCAGAGGATTTGAAGCGGAAGTATAAGAATGGGTGTTCCAAGTGCAGGTACACTTTTTGTACACCTAGTTGCTGGGCCGGTCGAGGTTTTACTCTTTGACGTGCACCATGCATGAAGAGGAGGAGAAAAAGATTGCGTTGCAGCTTTCACGCTGAGGGTCGTGGGTCTGTCATGCCTGTGTTGTCTCCGGTGCTTGGTTGGCATGGTCCTGTCTCGGTTGACTTGTCTTCGGTTTGGTCTCGTTGTGGTTCTGAATGTGGTTTCTGTAGGAACTGTGAGGCTCTAGCTGCAACGGGGACGGGCTGCTTCCGCTTGTCGCGGATAAAGCGTGCGCGTACAGAGGCCAGGGTGAGGGCATGTACAAAGGAGACAATCTAAGAATGTCGAACCTATATATGGATAAAATATATAGATACATTTATATAGACTATAACCAATTGGTCTGCGTCTATATCGGGTTGCCCGTGCCCCTGGAGGTGACTGATGCCGCCGAAGGAGACCAAGCGTGAGCCAAGTGAGTACTCCTATGTGACAGATGAAGAGGAGGAGCACGCACCAGCACCAGCGTCTGCGGCACCACCAAGGACTCCTCCGAGGGTGGTGGGCACAGCGGCCAAGAGCCGGGTGCATGTGCCGAACACGCCGCCCTCCGAGTCGAGCTCAGAGCGCGCACCGCGTGCGCGCGGTCGAGCGCCAGCGGACGTACCATATCCGCCAAGTGCGGATGTTCCGCCGGCTCCGGAGCGGCCGAAGACAGAGCGCGCGGAGGGTCCGGGTCGAGCAGGGCGGACGTCGCGCGCTGACGCTGTAGCCGTGGCAGGTGGTCGAACGGCTGCCTCTGCTGTGGCCGCTGCTCCGCGCACTGCAGAGGCTCCTGCTGAGCCAGACGATGCAGCGCCTCCATGTGAGGCGCGGGAGCAGGCGCGAGACGATCGAGTGCCCCATTTGCTGGGGGTCGGTGGTCAAGGGCCCCGCAGGGCTCTCCCAGCATCAGTTCTGGTCAGAGATTTGCAACACCTGGCGGTTGCATACCCAGAACGGGCTCACGTGGCCGCAGGCTGAACGACAGGCTAAGCGCCTCAAGCACGACCGGGAACAGCAGGAACAGGAAGAGATCACACCAGCGCGCAACCTCACGATGCGCCAGAAGCTGGAAGGACGCGAAGCAAAGGCTGCTGTGACCATGGAGGACGTGCTGGAGCTGCTGCGCGCGCAGAAGAAGAGCAAGAAGCACAAGCGCCGCCGCCGCAGACATGAGTCACCGACCCCTGAGGTCGAAAGGAAAAAGCATCGCCGAGGTGACCGGGATCCTCCAAGTGATGATCCAGAGAGAGGTCCATCGGCTTCGGTGCGGAAGGGCCCAGGTGGCTCCTTGATTTTGCAGATCCCGGCCCACATGGTCCAAGGCAGCTAAGGCTGCCAGATGTGTCTACGTGACACCGTCATATATAGAGACCGCAGGTGTATATAGAATTTGATTCGGACCACCGCAGCATCGAACCTGACGTGAAAAGGGACAGTGCTCTGTCGGGCCGCTCTTGTCGTTCTGCGTTGCGTTGTGGTCGTCTTTGTGCCTCGTTGTTCCGTTCTGTGTTTTGGCTCTATATAGTGCCGAAGTTTATAAGGGGTGCCCGCGCCGTCGGCCGTTGTCTCCGAGCAATGGAGGTTCCGAAGGATGTATCCTTTTCCTTGCGGCCACGTGCCTTGGAAGAGGTCATCCAAGCGATGACGGCCACGAAGCCAGCGGAGCCTTTAGAAGATTTCGTGTCTACGTGGCATGATGTAAGGGCGTCACTGGAAGATGCCTGCGGCCATGCGATGCAAGACGATGCGCGCATGTTGTCTCGCCTAATGGCGTTGCTTCTCCACGGAGAATGGCAGGCCACTGTGTTGGATTTACCACCGCATCCGAAGCTACATGGCTTCTGTCTGGTTCCAGCGCGGACGGTGCCACAGCAAAGTCGAGAGCAGTGGAGCTATCTCCTGCGGTATGACTTCTTTGGCCAACGATATGTGAAGGCACGTAAGACGCTGTCCACGTTGGCCTGGCATCTCTCCACGCGGGAGAATATGCAGAGGGAATTCCTCTGGTGCCGCAGAGCTGCGTGGCTTTTGCGACAGCTCCGGCAGCGTTGGCGCCAAGAGCGCGAAAGCCAAAGAGGGTCCTACGCGGACATGCGCTGTCTGCCGGTAGGATAGTGTCTTGGTAGAAAACGCCATGAGTGCGGGTTGAGTGCGGTTGAGTGCGGATGAGTGCTGGAAAATATCATCACTTCTGGCATGAGGGCGGGGCATGAGTGCGGACAGGAAGAGGTGAGCAGTGAGCTTTTTGTCGTGAGTGCGATTGAGTGCGGCAAGACTAACCCCTCTCAAACCTAGGGCGGTCATGAGTGCGGTTGAGTGCGGACTGTGGAACCTTCAAAATAGTCAAAAAGAGCCATGAGTGCGGGATTTTGGTGGAAAGTTGCAAATCTAAGAAAAAAAACTGTCACGGCCGTCCGCAGATTTGGATCCTCAAGCCATCTCAAGCCTTCGGTCTTCTGACTTGTGTCTGTGCTGTTGTCCCTTGTTCCACTTGTTCCTGTCGCAATGGCTGCTGAGGAAGCCCAAGCGGCACAGGCGAAGTGCGGCAGTTGTGGCTTGGAGTATTCCCAAGAGGAAGGTCGTCTACATGGACGAAACTTCAAGTGTGGCAATTGCAAGAATGTGGAGCAGACGTTACGGCGTCATCTTGGCACCACCGCAGACTTGCAAGAGTTCTCCCAAGAGGAGAGTGAGAAGTTCTTTAAGGCGACACATGCCGCCAAATCTCCGGACGGAAAGCTTGCTTGGCAAACCATCCGGGCGATCCTGCTGAAGCGCATGACCGAAGTGAGGATTAGGTCCTTTGAGAGCAAGGTCGCGGTGGAAGAACTTCCTTTGTCCGTGCTGCTGACGCGTGGATGGGAGGAACAGGTGGTGCGGAAATTTCCTTCGGAGGTTTCCGAAGCCCATGGCTGCGAGCTGTTCAAGGTGCCAGTGCGGACCTGCACATGGGCGGAAGCTTTTCAAAGGTCGGAGGAAACTATTCTGGAAAGGGAAAAGCAAGCAAGCAAAAAGAAGGGGAGCAAAGACATGGACGTGCCTCTCGCTGGCCCAAGCGGCAAGGAGGAAGCGGATTCGAAGAAGGCTGACCGCAAGAAAGCCCAAGAGGCTAAGAAGGTTGTCACCGAGAACGTGAAGATTGCAACCTGGGCGGCCAAGTGCCTCGGACCTCTGACCCAAGCGGAAACCTCCCTCACCAAGGTGATTGCCAAGGGAGACACAGTGCCGGATGCGGACGAGAAGGCCCTGACACTGTGTAAGGACAATCTGGTCACGGTGACCGGTTGGATCAAGGCGGCTAAGGAAGCGGTGTCCATGCAGGATCACAATAAAGAGAAAGAGGAAGAGGCCCAGGTGGCCTTAGTTTCCTTGCCCTGCGACGCAACTGACGTCAAAGTGCTTCTCAAACAAATTGCGGAAGCTACGAAAGCCCTACGCGGGTCCTTCCCAAAGCCGAAGGCTAAGGCCAAAGCGGTTGCGGGAGCAGAGGCGTCTGCGCCGAAGCGTCGCAGGATCAAACAAAACCCGTGAGCTATGCGCTCCCACTGGCCACGGACAGATAAAATATATGTATATAGAGGTGGCATCGATGCTACAGGGGTTAAGGTAGTATGTGAAGCCTGTGGAGATAGACATCCCCCAAATGCACGCGCATCCGGATGGTCGAAAAAAAAAGTTGGGCTTGTCTGGAACAGTGGGCTGTGGTAGTAGTCGCATTCATATGGGTCGTCACCGTGCCTATCTTTGTCTTCGTTCTGTGTGCATGCTTGTTTGCGTTCTTTTGGCTCGTCAGGTATCCCTCCATGTCCAAACGCAAACTGAGGATCGACGATGGCCCGGGTGCGCAGTTCCGCGCTCTGCGACAGTTGCCAGGTGTCAGCCAAGAGCTGGGGCGAAACATCGTGTCGCTATTGCGAGATGATGACAGAGGAAAAGGCGTCTGCAAAAGAAAAAAGGAGATTGCCCCAGAGGCATGCGGGATTCAAGTTCGTCTACGGGACGAAGGCAATCCCGAGATCGAAATTGTTGCTAACAGCTTGCCGCGGTTGATTGAGAAAAAAAAGGAACGATGTCCACTTTTTTCGCGTTTGTTGGAGGACGCCTTGCTCCGCAACAGAAATGAGCTCACGTTAGTCCTAGCCCAAGATGAAACGACCCCAGGCAACGTTCTCTCGAGTCGTCCAGCAAGAAAAACTAATTGGATCTTTGCATCTTTCTTAGAGATAGAGGCCTTATGGATTGATAGCATGTGGTTGCCGGTATCCTGCATCCTTGCAAAGGAGGCGCAAGACGCCAAATATTCCTATGTGGAATACACGCGTGTGGTGCTACGGCATCTCCATGGCGAGGTGCAAAATGGCTTTGCACTGGATGCATCGGAAGGACCCGTGCTTGTCTTTCTACCCAAAATAATTCTATTGGGGGATCACGAAGCCTTACGGGCTCTGTCGGGGGCCAAGGGCTCCAGTGGCGCGAAGCCATGTCTCAAATGCTGCAATATCTTGAGTCAAAATCGACATACCCCCTTTGCACGCTTGCATCACGGAGGCCAACAGCGCCAACTTCCTCCCTCAGACTGGAGAAGGACTTCGTGAGATTCTGCGGCATTTTGAGTCGTGCAGGACGAAGAAGTGTTTGCAAGAGGCAGAAACAGCTCTAGGCTGGAATGCAGAGATGTTGCGTCGATCAGTTGTCACTGATGCCTTCTTGAGTGGCTGGGTTACATTGCAATCCTTTTACTTCGACAGATCACCCACCCCTAAAAATGTATTTTAGGGGGGGGAGAGGTCAGGTAAAAAAAATACAGTTACCGTTCTCCAAGAATTTGATTCCCCAGGACCCCCCCTAAATACATTATTTGACCGGTGGTTGTACGTTAAATGTAGGATCCATGGGTCGGGATATCCAACCCCCCCAGGATCTTTTATTTTGGGGGGGTGGTTTAATACATTTTACGGGTTTGGTTTTTCCAGGATCCCCGGGAATGTTTAATTTTTTTCTGGGGAATACCCTTCATTGAAAAATGTATTTTAGGGGGGTTGGGTAGCCGAAAAGCACATCATTTTGGGAAAATGGAGTTTATAGATCTTGCTAAGGTAGTCATTGGTACCCCCTGCAATGCATACATTTCAGAATATTTAAGATCGAGTATATTTCAGCCATTTTATGGCTCGAGGGCCCGCTAGTTGCCATTGGCCCAGAATGGTCTTCAATGGTCTTCAGCCTAGAATACTCCAGAATATTTTTAGGTGACCCCAGGTATTCCCAGGTTTCCCCATGGGTTTCAGTAGGTTTCCCAGGAAAAAAAAGATCAAGTGGATTGAGGTGCAGACCCCCCATGATTGCATACATTTAGAAAAGTTTATGTATCCATTGGCTCTTGTCAGTGGCGCCCCCACAAAGCATACATTTTCAGGTTCAATACCCCTACCAATAATACATTTCCAGCATCTGGCACTCATACATGCCTCATTTTGAGGGGTTACCCCCCCCCTAGTTCCCATACATTTTTGGCAAAAAGTGAGGGGGTTAACCCCCCCCTTATGTTCATACATTATCAGAAATGTAGGATCCACCCCCCCTACTCCTGAACCAGTTGGGGTCGGGGATTTCGACAGCATGCACCAGTACTGGTCGTGTGGGCAAGTTGCGCAGGAGCTGGGTCTTTGGTACACGCGTCTTGCCGATTGCCACATTACCTTGGACGCGCTGCGTGCATGGGTCGCTATTGGTTGGAAAGATTTAGGGCGTACGCCGCCCATGCATTTGTTTTCTGACAAAATGTTCAAACGCGACACAGACTATCGCGGAGACGCGCAAGCGTGTCTGGTGGTATTCCCTCTCTGCTGGGCATATAGCATGGAAATCTTAAATGGCCGCTCTGACGTGGCTCAAGCTATTGCTTCCCTGAATGCCCTCTACGCTGTGACGCAAGTCATCCATGAGATGAAAAGGCAGCCACGAGCTGTGGTGCAGTTAGAGCCATTGCAACAGGACCACATGGAGAAATTTCGTTTGGCGTACGGTTCGGAGCATGTGCGTCCCAAAGTTCACTTCTCGCGGCACTTGCGTGAACAAGTTGAGGCTTGGAAACGTCACATCGATTGCTTTGTGGCCGAGCGTAAAAATAAACTATTCAAGCGCCAAATTGCGCCGCGTTTGAATCGGTTGTCATCTTTCTCTGCCAGCGCGTTGATGGAGCTCACCCAATCTGAACTCAACACCGCCCATGTGGTGGACCGGCTTATCGGCCAATTGGTTGGGAAGGGAAAGCCACATCTGGAATGGGCCAAAGAAGTCCATGTGACGCCAGACGCTCTCTTTGCTACGGGCATCGAAGTGGGGTGCGTGGAGTTCCTACGTGGACATTTCCTCGTCTTGCACCCCACTCTCTGCCTTGAAATTCATCATGGCATGAAAATCCAAGAAAACCATTACCTGGTGGTTGAAGAATGGCTGCCCTACGAGGGCCGGCCTACACCAAACTGCCAGCAGTGGCGCCGGAATGCGCGCGCGAGCAAGTACGTCTTGCCGGCGCACAAAATGAAAGGCCACGAGCCATTGCATCTCATGCGAAAGGAGCATGAAATTGTCTGGCTGCTGCGATGAGACGAGCGCAATTAACAAAACGGTGCAAGAAAAAGAAACAATACTATTTAAAAAATACAATATAAGTTTAAAAAAAAAATACTTGTCCTAAAAATTGCTCCAAATGGTAAAATTGCAAATAAACAATGAAAAAACTTAGCTTCACTTAGCTGCCACTTAGCAAGCACTTAGCGAAGCATGTTTTGTAGCCCCAAAGCTAAGTGACCTAAGTGAAAGATAACTTCTGCTAAGTCACCTAACTCAAAAGCGGGTCCCAAGTATGACATTTCCAGAAATTGTTGAAAGTAAGGATCGTCTTTGGGGAAGAACATATGCAGTCGACAACGTACATGCCAGAAGAAAAGGAGTACGTGGCAAACTGTATGAAATACAAATTTCACCTGAAAGGGGTCTTCGCAATTCCCTGAATTTTCCCAGCTATTTTGGCATGGAATACGCTTGGCCCTGGAATATGGGCAAGAAATTGCTAGAAGATCGAAAACTAGCCATTTATGGTGATGGGATAGCTTATGGCAGTGGTACCACGTTGAGGACTCACCTCTGTGCTCGTGGTAAACGCGGCAAAGCCTACGGCCGGGATGCACCTCGCAGGATCAGGGAAACAGTTTGCGTTAAAGATGGTGATTTTCCATGTCTTTGTTTAGAGGCCACCCCAGGGTATCTCAAATTTTCGTTGTTTTTTTTGCTTCATTCGCAAATCGGGTATAGTTTACTGGATGGACCCCAGGATTTGAACATGTTTTACCTAAAAGCAACAGATGGTTGAGCTTTGACGTCCAAAAAACACCAACCTTTGTGGATGCTGAGCGCCAGGGCCATGATCGGGCAAAGAGTGTTGGTGTGGTCCGTTTGGAAATAGACTGTCCGCCCAATTTACCCTCTGGTAAGCATACAAAAAACTATTGAAAATTGCCATTTATAGCGGATTTACCCAGTAAAAATGGTGATTTTCCATAGTTACGTTAGTTTACCAGAGGGTAAGATAATTCTTGTTTCCAAATTCTACAGATCCCGCCTGTAAGCTGCTGTCCCAGTTTGACATATAATATGGGACTCATTGATCAATCATATTTTTATGGTGGTTAGATGTTTGCCGTCCTCCTGGAATGATTGCACTTGAGGTTTTGACTCTGCAACTCAAGCTGTGCTCAAGTTGTGACAAGTTCAACTCTGGGATGTGCTGAGAAAACATGATTCATGCTGACATCAGCCCATCCGAATGATGGAGTTGAAGACCATTTAACTGGGTAAATTATAACGACCTCACTGCGACCGAAGCCTGGAATCATGGTTAATTAATCAGGGGAATCATCCCAAAATGGCCTTATTTCAGATTAGTGAATTATTATTTATTATAATTTGCTCAGATTTAATATATACCATTCTTGGGATTGCTTACCTAATCCTACCATTCGAATGGTTTTAATCCTATCATTCATCGGAGCCCTGAAACATGAATTACCCCATTGACACTTCAACTTTTAGAGTGTCGCTAGTGCTATGAAATACCCACTGGAAATCGGATTTGTTTGCAGACTGCAGCGAAGCATCCAATATTTTTTAACAAATATTTTTTGTTAGGTGAGGTAACAAGACAGTCTCGCTGATAGCGAACGAGATGTTGTTAGTGGAAAATAGCAAGGCCAAGACTTTGTTTTTTCTTTTTTTCTCTTGGGGAATTGGGGGATTTGTCCTGTATTATCCTGTACCATTCCCGGCTATGGCCCATGACCAGTTACAAGTCAGCAAGTCATCCCATTTATGCAAGCCCATTTCAAAATATTTCAAAACACAGTACTTATATACCATCTTATCTGGTTGGTGGTTTGGAACATTTGTTTTTTTTTCATATATGGAGAATAATCATCCCAACTGACGAACTCCATCATTTTTCAGAGGGGTGAGTATACCACCAACCATCTTTTTATTAACCATCATCAACCATATATAACAACTATTAATATTAACCATTATTAACAGTATATTAACCACAATGGTAGGTTGAAACCACCAACAATCTTATTCTACCACGGTTTCGACATGGCACTGCACCGAGGCCATGGGTCCATCCGATGACAGCGATGATCGCGACGAAGGGTACCGAGACGAAGAGGACGAAGGTCCGGACCGAGACGGCGATGATCGCGACGACAGCGGCTTTCCCTGGATTTGTTCAGTTAAGGCCCTTTACCAGTTATAAGTACTTATAATTCCGTTCATAGAATGTATAATCCCATTTATAACCAGCTAAAAAATGGCCATAGCTGTGGATTTGTTGAGCCCATTTCGCATGTTGTCCCAATGGGAAATCCAATGGGAAATCCACTAGAAATGGCGGCGAACTAGCCACGTACTAGCTATAGGTTGTATCCCTGGTTAGTGGACTAAGCCCGTCCCACTAAGACAACCGTGAATATGTTTGACCTATACTTAGTAAGTGGGTAGGTCGCCATCAACTAGCGAATGTTTCTCATAAGCAAATCCAAGGCTCTGATGGCTACGACAGCGGCTATGATGGCTACGACAGCGGCTATGATGGCTATGATGGCTCGAGCAGCGGGTCTGGCTATGACGATGACGACTATGACTACAGCAATTCGTACTAGCAGCGGTGCCAATTTTGATGTCTGGGGCTGCGATGCCAAGAGGCACACAAAAAAATTTTGGCCTGATTTTTTTTAATAGGATCTGTATATATGACTGTGTCCAAAAGACGAACTATTCGGTCAACACAAGGCAAAAAGAGAAATGCAATGTAATGAGCCGATTTGAAACAAAACAAATTTTGTGTTGTTTTTTCATTCTCAGTATCATAGTATCGCTATTCGTAGATCACCTTCATCATGCTGGACCCTCTCAGCAAGTCAGGAGCACTGACCAGAAACTGCCAACCAACGATTAAGAAAAGATGTTTTGGGAGAGGTGAACTTGCTTGCATTTAAATTTGGAACCAGTCGCTGCACGCAAAGAAGTTCTCTCAGCTCTGAAATGAGCAGAGTGCAACTCTTCCGCCAACACATGGACGTTCAGTGTCCGAACACCGGCGTGTGTTCTTGACAAAGAAACGATGCCCATGTCTTGTTTTTTGCAGTTAAGGCCATTTACCAGTTATAAGTACTTATAACTCCATTTATAGAATGTATAATCCCGTTTATAAACAGTTATAACTAATAAATGGCCATAACTTTTTTTTGGTGGTTTTTCAGCTCAAAAGATGGATCGAATAGCTAGCCATCTTGGGGACAGCCATCAATCGTAAAGTATACTTCATCCCATGCAACTTGACCCGATCGCGAGAGTCATCGTTAAGTAAGTCATCCGCATGGCTGGAAGGCCTTAATTCATATAGAGGTTTTAGTGGGAAAAGCATCAAATGGAAAAAATATTCCATGTTGCACGCTGCCATGTTGCCGGCAATTGGACTGATTAGTTTATAAGTAGAAGAGATTGATGAAATTGATTTACATGATGTCCCAGGCCCCTACATACACCTACATACGGTGCTGCTTGATTACCTTCTATGTGCTGTGTCCATGTGTTGGTGCACATTGCAGCGCAGTCTTACGCAGCGCAGTAGTGCGTGCGGATAGAAAAAGGCAGGTCAGAAGAACTTGTCTTGTGCATTCATAGCATGGTCAAAACATGGGTTGTTTAAACTGATAAAAGGGTAATATTACTACAATGTGAGGCCCCCCCAGTTATAAGTTGGTTTATAAGCCCCAGTAACTAGTTCGTTATAAGTACCATAAACCAAAGTTATTGGAGTTATAAATGAACTGAACGCTATCTTGGGGGCCTCACATTGTAGGGCTTTAAATGCACACTATTTTTGAGGATTCGTTATTGGGATGGATGACCATGAACAATCCATGGCACATCCATATACCTTGGTACCTTGACCATGGCACAGCTGGTGTTTTCCCTTTTAAAGGCGATCGCACGACCTTTGGGTCTAGGCTGTTTCAAGGGTGTGTGGCCACTTGCAAGAACATGTTGAACAATGAGTTCAAATATGTTATATATATATAATATGATATAGTACAATATGATATGATATGTTTTAATTTGTTCTGATATAATAATATAATATATAATTGTATAACATATATTATAGTATATTTAATATTATATATATAACGTTATATATAATATTATTTTTAATTTAATATATGATATAATGTTTGTATAATGTATATATAATGTTTATATAATGTTTATATAATGTTTACATAATGTTTGTATAATGTCTATATAATGGTTATATATTACATAAAGTTGCATCATTATACATGTGTTTTTTGATCATGTAATATATTAGTATCGTTACATTTTTGTGTTAATATATTACTGCCTCTCCCTATAGAGCAATACTCCAAGTACTCGCCGTGTTTCGTGCCTCAGCAGCTCATCCCACGCCCCGTTGCCAACTTCCCGGGAAAGCGTGATGGGAGTCTTAGGAGGTCACCAGCTGTGATTGATGCAAGCCTCTGTTTTTCAATGCGTTTCTACATATTTATATACATATGTAATATATATATATATATATTTTGTTCAGCTGTGGAAAAGTACATGAAAACTATACCTTCAATGTGGGGATTCGGCTAGCACGTGTAGGGCATTTGGAGAAGCAGAGCAGATCAATCTGTCGCCGTGGAAAGAAGCACTAAATTGCCCAAGGTCGATATGTCGTGTGCAGAATCCCACTAGCTTTGTTGTATGGTGTGCATACATCAATTAATGTGGCATTTTAGTAAAACCAACTCACGGATCAAAACAGATGACAAGTTGAAATGATTTTTCAAAGAATATTGGCGACTAACAGGTAGAGGCAGAGGCAATTGGTTTTTTGGCAGAACAGATATTGATAGATGATCATCACATCACCAATAGCCAATCTCGGGACCTGAAGGCTCAACTGACCCTGAACTCATTCGCCAACCATACCGCATTTTCCTGCAACTTGACGTGGTTTGTGTCAACCTCATGGCCCACCTGGCCCTTGGGCTTCAGGTGCCACCCATCTCAGCATTCTGCTGAGCCTACTGGCAAGCTGCAGTTGCGAGGACTGTGCCAGCGATGTGACCTCCCATGTGTTACTCGCTGGCAATGGCCCAGTTGTTTGTTGACGTGTCGTGGCGTTAGACTTCCAAGATTCTGAAGACCGGTGCACAGGTATCAGATGCCGGCAAAAATGACAGGAAACATGGACGCATATCCAAACCCCAAAAAACAACCAGAGATTTCACTTAAGCTCATAACTACCTTCGATTGTTGGCATCCAATTTCCAAATGCGAAGACGTTGGAACATGTTGGAACCCCGCAAGAATACCACACAATTCCAGAAACAGCTTTCCAAAAATTGTAAATTTGGTCGGTGCCAAGTCTTAGTTCTTTTTGGCACAACTTTGGCACGTTCATCCCAAGCATCTCAGGCAGGTGGAACAAGGACGTAAAGACGTCCGTCGGATGGCACAGAGCAGCAAGCGATCCAAACGAATGCCGCTGAGTTGCAGAAGTTGGGGACCCTCAAATCAGCCGTGGATGAGCCGCGGCTGGTATAGAACCCATTTTAGGAACCCCCAAAGGTCGTTACTACCTAGTGGTTAGGAGGGAGGTGGGAGCTAGAGGTATCCATATTCCTACAGGGAGCTTAGAGCTCAAGGGTTTCCCAAGCATTTAATTATGTGATGTTGTCCGGGGATTGTTACAGTTGCTGCTTCAAAACAAGACAGGTCTCAGGTATAGCATTTCCAGAAACGTAGTTTTTCATGAGGCCTCTATTTAAGGCACTTGTTTGTCTATACAATGGCATGCGCATGTACTATTGTTTTGGTCTCTTTTCGATCGTAGCTTTGGGATGGCTTGTTGTGCCACGATGTCCGTGTGGTTTCCATAATTTGCAGAGGGTGAAACGTTTGCTAATCTTTGGCTAGCTTCAAATTGCTATATAACCTTTGCTAAATCCATGGTGCTATATATGGTGTGCCATGGATCCCATCAATATACCCCCTTTATGTTGGCATAACCAGCACCATGGACACCATGGATCCATCATGGGATAACCATTGGCTTTTCCCAGAGACTTCGGATAAAAATAGCCAACGGGATGACGGTGATGGTGTTCGGCAAGGTGTAGCGTGGTGCAGTGTTCGGCAAGGTTTCATTGTCGAGTTTGTCAGGGCACTTTAGATGTGGTTAGTATTTTAGAAGTGGGATTTATATACGTATATATACTGTTTGGTGGCTTCAAACATTTGTTATTTTTCCATATATATTGGGAATAATAATCCCAACTGACTTTCATAAATTTTTGAAGATGGTTAAAACTGCGAATTGCATATTCCCTATTTAGCATTCATGTCATGACTTTGCAATTGTCATTTCAATCAATGGGCATTTCATCATAGCCCTTTTTCCAAGCTCAAAGATCGGTCGGAAGACCGGTGAATCCAACGTGAAGGACTTTGGAAAGAGAGTTAAAAGCGCAGGACCACTTGTCTGACCGTGGAGGACTTTGTGTGTCTAACGCAGGGAAGTTTGAGGTGTGGACTAGTACCTGGCTTTTCTGGCCGCAGACGTGTCAGGACTGTCAGTGCTAGTACCCCCGATAATATTACCCGGGTGAACCTGTCGCGAACAGGTTATGAGCCCAACGCATGGGGACTCTGCTGAAATGATGCTCAGAAGAAGAAGGTCTGAGCCTGATGATGAAGAGTCAAAGAAAGACCAAACAGCGTCAAGCACCCGGGCAAGCGCGAGGAACCAAGGGGCAGAGATGGCTCCAGTGGCAGTGGATAGGGAAAGGGTTGGAAAGCCTTCACCAAATGGTCCTGTTGGGGAAGATATGAAAACCCCCTTGCCAATAGAAGACTTTCCAGCAGAACCTGTAGGATCCCCTAAGGCCCTAGGACCTAGGAACCTCCAGCCACTGTTCAATGAAGCTCAGCTAAAGAAGGCTGAGGAGCTCAGGTTGAGTGCACCACTTTTGCAGGGCCCAAGCCCCACCGCAGTAAGCCAGTCCACCGGCGGATGGGATGGGGGTTTGGCGGCAGGCAAGGTGGGAATGGGGAAGGAAGCTGACATGTCAGAGGGACCATCAAGGAAGGGTCCGGAAGTCTTGATGATGTCACCAATGGGATATCCCTTAGCACCTCAACATGGTTATGGATACGTGCCACACCCCACACAACAAGGAATGTTTGATGAGATGATGTGGCAGTTTCGACAAGAAATGGGACAAATGTCAAAGTCTCTCACCCAGCTTCAAGAAGAAAATTTGAGGTTGAGGATTCAGCTTATGGAAGAACGAGAGACTAGATACACAACACCTCCCGATGTCACTCCTGCTGAAGGTCTCCTTGACAGCGCCCGCCGTCAGAAGGTTTCAGGAAAGAAGCCCAAGTCCAAAGGTGTAGAAGCCAAGCAGGAAGACTTTGAAGCTTCGAAGCCAAAGGAGGCTGCAGGTCGAGGAGAACAGGAGGCTAAGACCCCCAAAGCAGAGGAGGAAGTGATTGGAAGGAAGCTTGAAGAAGTTTCTAAGGAGGATGGTCCAGCTGGACAGCAAGAGTCCAGTGAGGAGAGTCAATCGATTCAAGAAGAGGAGTCGGAAGATTCAGTGAATGTGAAAGATCACAAAGGAAGATCAAAAAAGGAGGACACCACAGTGGACGTGATGCTCAAGTTGATGCAAGGGATGCAATCGCTGCAACAACAGCTCTTGGATCGAGAGACGATCAGGGGCCGACGGCTAACAGAGGACGATGAAGAGGAGCATGTGAGGAGCAGTGTAGAGCTGCACAAACTGCCGGAGTGGACAGCTGAGAATGCTCCGGTGGACTTACAGGACTGGTTGCTTCTCATCCATGCACAGATGTCGGATCTCACTACCAGCAGTTCAGAATGGTGGGATCTAGTGGTTGAGACTGCGAAGGACTGGTACCACAAACACCAAGCCATGAAGCCCATCGACAAGCTGAAGCATGAAGTCAGGGCACCACCGCAACTACAGCAGAAGAAATGGAGAAGGTTGGAGAAGAGAGGAAGCAGTTTGCTTCTTCAGGCCTTGCCCAGTAGTCAGCGTGATGACATTGTGGCAGGGAAAGACCTTTCAGTGTTGGCGATTTTGGCAAAACTCCTCAACAACTACCAGCCTGGTGGTTCCCATGAAAAAGCAGCAGTGCTGGCCGCTTTGGAGCTGCCGGCAGAAGCGGTGGGGATCGGCGAGGGCATCCTGGGACTACGTCGTTGGTTGAGATGGAAGAAAAGGGCAGAAGACATGGGCCTTCAGTTGCCCGATCCATCGGTCCTTTTGAGGGGCCTGGACCGGCTGGTCTCCAAGATTTTGGCTGGCAATCCAACCTTGCAGTTTCGCATTAACCTGACGAGGACAACACTGATGGTGGATTCTGTGCCCACTATGTCTTCCATTGACCAGTTGGCCGAATGCTTACTGGCTGAGATGGACCAGGTCTCCTATGCCAAAAAGAAGGAAAAGGCAGCCATCGCAGGAGTTCCTAAAGCTCGGAAGATGGAGGAGGCAGGAAAAAGAAGCGAAGTGCCTCAAGCCAAGAAGGGCGATGAGGGTAAGAAGGAGATGCCAAAGTGTAAGTACTTCCTGACGGAGAATGGATGCCGTCGAGGAAAAGCTTGCAGATGGGATCACAACCAGAAGGATGACCAGCGTCGCTGCTGGAATTGCGGGTCCACAAAGCACTTCTCCAACAAATGTCCAGTGAGTGAGGGCCAAGGAGAAGTCAAAGTGGCCAAAGCCGAAAAAGATGGCGAAGCCAGAAAGAAGAAGAATGATGAGGAGGACAATCAGTCCGACCGAGCAGTTGCTGGAGCGGACGATATGAAGAGTCTACTGGAAGAAGCTGGAAAGATGCTGAAGGTGATTCCAGGAGCTTCGCAGGAAAGCTCATCGGTTGAGGAGACCGGTGATGCCAAAATCAGGAGACTTCAAAGACAGCTGGATGAGCTTCGAGCTTCTTCGGTGAGAGTGCTGCGATTGGCCAGGGTCCAAGCAGCTGTGGAAGATTTGGGACTCCTTGACAGCGGAGCTACCCATCCTCTTCGACCTCCAAAGAAAGATGAGGATCTGTCCAAATGTCAAAAGGTGAGGATCAATCTGGCCGGAGGAAAACAAACAATGATGATGCTTTCAGAAGGTGGTGCCATCATAGGCTCTGAGGATGTGGAGCCCATCGTGCCACTGGGAGCGTTGGTGGAGAACTTGGGTTGCTCTTTGCAATGGACCGAAGGCCATATGGTCCTGTATCACCCCTTCAAGGGGCAGATTAGCACCCAGCTCAAAGAAGGTTGCCCGATGATCAACAAGTCTGATGCTTTGGAGTTGATCGAGGAGTTGGAAAACAAGGCACCCAAGCTGAGGAGAGTATATAGAAGGATCCGCAGCTGAAGCCTACATGCACTGGATGAAGCGCTTGGTAGAAGAACACCCAGCACTTCAAGGAGTTCCAAAAAGAATCACAGAAAGGTTGGTGATCAGCCCTAAGGAAGGACATATCACCGGAAACCGAAGCCGAAGAAAGCTATGGAAGAAAGAAGGAGGTGTGACGTTGTACCTCTACTCAGGACCCAATGAAGGGTATACTATGGCCAAGGCCATTCAGCTCCTCGGAGGAGAGAAAAGAAAGGTCATAGCGGTGGACATCAAGAACGGAGCCAAATGGGATATGATGGAGGATGACCTCTATGCTGAGCTCATGGACATGGTCATCAAGGGCCAAGTGGAGTCCCTGGTGATGTCTCCAAATTGTCGCACTCGCTCAAAGCTCCGACACTGTGAAGTTGAAGGAGTTGATCTCCCCGGACCGGTCCGAGAGTGGAACGGTGGAGAATGGGGAAAGAAGGGCATCGGAGAAAGAGAGGAGAAGAAGTGCCATGAAGATGATGTGATGCTCTTCAGAGGACTCATGCTCTACATGGTTGCCCAGGAGATCAGGAAAGCATCCCGCCACACCAAAGACATCGACCTTGTCTTTGAGCACCCCAGCACCCCGGCAAACATGCCACAGGTGGTATCGTTCTGGTCCACCCCCCAATGGCAAGCACTCAAGCAAGCATACGGCCTGTGGGAGATCCACTTAGACCAAGGGAAGCTTGGAGGAGGAGGGGTCAAACCCACAACGTTGGGCGGCAACTTGCGCATGCAAGTACCCAGCGTGGTCGTACCAGCACCACAACCTCGATGCACACATGGCAAAACAAAAGAGCAGATAGGCAGATAGTGCAGGAATCCCAAAGCCTTTCCAGATGGGTCCCTCTGCTTACCGACATGGTAGCATGCGCCCTGCTGGAGTCCCAAGGGATCACCCCGAAGTTGAGATCCTGGAGGACACATGTCCAACGATGCCACCAGCCTTTCAGAAAAGACTGCAAGGTATGTCAAGAGGCTGCAGCAAGAGCAAGACCTCACCGGCGTCAAAAACTTCCCCCAAGAGCTGGCGTTCTTTCGGTCGACATCGCCGGACCACTC